AAGAAAGGGGCAGAAAGGGTACTCACTCAGAGCACCGACCCGTCGCCAACTGAGTTGGCAACGATAGAGAAAGTGTTGCCGGTCGAGCAGCGAATACACGGTGCGTTTAAACCGTGCAGGCCGCTCTTCCGGCGGAAGAGAGAAGAGTGTAGGACAGAGAAAGTAGCAAAACCAAAATATACTTACCCAGAGGTCTGGGGAGCAATGTGGGGCTCGAAGTCCAGTTCTGGTCCTATTTTAGGCAGAAAACATTAAGCTGATAAGAACAGATTTAAATGATTTTATTAAAATTCCTAATAACGTACATGGGGTATAAGAGGAGGAATAGTTTTACAATATTTACATATGTGATGCGCGACATGGGCTCGAGCCTGCCAGTATATACAAAGTTCATGTTCGCGAGCTACATGGGCACATAGCCTGTCAAGTGGTACAGTGATATAAACACAGAAATGGTGCGCGTGACACGGGCACTTAGCCTGACACACGTGGTAGTTACAACAGTTAGTTGTTCAATACATACGGAGTTGTCGAGTTGATTGTGATGTTGCGGGCCTCCGGCGACGATGTTGGTTGTGGGTGTTCGTACTGCGTTGGGGAGCAGTGGATCCCTGTTGACCGTGCTGATGGCTGACATGTGCTGTGGTACGCTGATGATGGTTGGGGGCGTGTCGTCCAAAGTTGAGGTGCTGGATGTAAATCTCACGACTCCAGCGGATGCTGTCGCTGACCATCAGTTTTGCCATGGTTTTCGAGTATTTTCGTCCGATACCAAGGCGCTGTAGCACAGCGACATTACCTGGGTCGTAGGCGCCAAGTGAGCCAATTACGAATGCGTCACAAAAGGTGTCATAACCTTTTGCTTGATAGTGTTGTGCGAGACGTGAGTATTTTTCGATCTTTTTGGCTCTGGCGGCGTTGAAGGCATTGTGGCCATTCTCGAAAGGGACCACTACGTCTACTATAGTGGCCGTTTTAGCGATGTCGTTAATGGCCACAAGGTCGGGGCGGCAGTTGTCGTCGTAGTCTGGGACCCGCTGGTTACAGTAAACAGTTAGGTCCCGGTCGTTTATTGCCCGACGCAGCCTGTTCAAAATTGCATTGTGGCGCTCAGTGGCCAGATGGAGATTACGGCCGCAATGATTGAGAACATGAGCAAGTGTTTCTTGCCGAAATCCACAATGACGGCATTTAGTCGAGGACTGCCCGAAGCGGCGGAGGCCATGTAGTGGCACCACACTCAGCCGTGCCCTATGGATGAACCTCCAGTCCGCAAAAGATGTATAAAGCCCGTCTTTGATGAAGTGATTGCTGGCCGGGTGTTGGGCGGTGAGTTGAAATGCTTTCCCCTGATCCGGTTTGCGCAACAGACGGTTTAAAAGGTTATTTTTGGCCATACCGGTCAGCAGCTTTGAGACGGCTTGTCGTGGAATGAGATTGCCTGCCGTGGTGATTGCAACAGTGTCGTCGGTGGTGTTCCAAGATATGTCCATAGTTTTCCGAAGACGACGGGTAGCCATGCGGAGGCGAGTCCAGTTTGATGTGATGTCCGCCGGGTCGATGCCGAACTCGCCCTCCATGGACCCATTTAAGTAGGTGCATAAGTCTTCGTTGGTGGGATCTCGTCGAATTCGTTTTTTGACGACACATCGGAGAGTGTTTAGTGCGATGGAGCGTACACGTGGGTCTCTAGACGTGAAGAGATGCATGCTGTGCGTAACTTGGCAAATATCCGATAAAGTGCCGCATGGAGTGATATTTGCTCCTCCATGGTCGTACGGTAGATTAACTATCTCGGCGCTAGCCCTTTGGGGAAGATTAAGCCATTTCTTGGCGCAGTTCTTGATGCGCCGGTCTAGGGCACGTAGGCGATTTTTAGAGTTGGCCCCAAGCAGAAGATGGAAAGTTAGCTTGGGCAGCAGCATGGTGTTTATGGCGTTGATTTTTTGCCATGGAGCGAGTTTGGACTCGTCCAGCTGCTGGATGTCCGCCTCTAAGTTGGTGATCACGTCCTCGGATGTGCAATGGGTAGAGAACCCAGTAGGTATGCCCAGATAGGAGTATGTACCTCCAGCCCTTAGGGGCGGGATGTCAGCATTCTGGAGTTTGAAGACTTCGTCGCTCGTGTTGTGCTGTTTGCCTATAACAGAGAGGGTGGCACACTTGCCTGGGTTGAACCGTAGCCCGGCCCAATCTGCCCAGCGTGAAATATAGTTTAGCTGCTTCTGTAGGCCTTCAGCGGTTGTGCTAACGAGGACGAGGTCGTCGGCATAGGCCAGGATATCTATGTGTTCACCCTCGAGTGGGTAGCCAAGTTGGAGGTCCTGGATGATCCTGACGGCCGTCTCGATGACCAAGTTAAAAAGCAGGGGGCTTAAAGGGCAGCCCTGCTTTACTCCAGAATTGATGGGTATGCTGTTGGTGTACCCACTGTTAGCACGGATTCTAGTGGTGCAGTTTCGGAGCAAGTTGTCGATGATGTCTATGCTCTCGTCGTGGATTCCGCACCATTGCAGGCATTTGATTATGGTTTCGTGGGGGACTGAGCCGAAGGCATTGCTGATGTCAAGCCACGCAATGTGGCAGGATCTATGTTTCCTCCTGGCGTCTTGGATGATAGATTGTAGGAGGAAATTGTGATCCAGACAGCCTTCGTGCTGCAGAAACCCCTTTTGGGCGTTCGACAAGATGTTGTTGCCCTTGCACCAAGTCAGAAGCCTGTTGGCCAGGCAAGCAGAGAAGATTTTGCCCAAAGTGTTGGACAGGGCAATGGGACGCCAGTTGCTAACGTTCCGGACGCTGCCTTTCTTGTGCAGTAGGATAGTATTGGAAGTCTGCCAGGATGATGGAATAGAAGAAGTGCGGAGGGCTGCATTAAAGACGCTCGCAAGGATGATTCCCTGCGGGTCGACCCTGGCCCAGTGATGGTAACGGAGACCATCCGGTCCAGGGGCCGTGTTGTGGCAGCGACGAATGCGGTTAGCAACTTCATCCGGCGTGAAGGGGCCGGAGAGCGGGTTGTTGGCGTCCATATCGATGGATGGTGGAGTGGCCGTGGGTGCAGAGGGCTGATGCTGTGAGTTGCGGGCATACAGACGATGGAAGTGGTTGTATAGTTCCTGCTCATTGATGCCACAGTATTTGGGCTGGCCATTGGTGATGTAACTGATGGCCTTCTTTTTGTTGAGCCTATACAACCTCTGTATGCGTTTGGCATCAGTAGCAATGGAGGGTTGGGATGTGGTCTGCTCTCCAGGTTGGATGGTGGTCCCAGCAACAGAGCATATGTCCTGGGCAAGGGTGACGAGATCGTCGACCATGTTTTCCAACATGTCCCCGTCTACAGCCACATCAAAGCGGTCCTTCCAGCTGAGGACCCAGCTGGGAGTGGAGGATGGGCTGGTGGTGGTGAGTCGAGGTGAGGCCTCAGTAGTGGGATGATGAGAGGCGTTGGCGACGGGGGAGGAAGGTTGGATATCAACCGGGCAGTAGGGAGCAGTGGGCACTGCTGCCGAGACTGGAGTGAAGTGGAGAGAACCCTCATGATAGTCCTGATGAGGACTGTTGGTGTTGCTGTGATTGTTGTTGGAGCGACGTCTTCTGGGCCTTCTGGCCAGGGCCAGAGGCGGCGATTGGCTGGAGCCAGGGACGGGGCTACAAGGAGGTACCCCGGGAACGGGGGTAGAGGCTCCTAAGCCCGAACAGCTGGCATTATGTAGCCTGGTGCCAGGGGAACAGTTATCCAAACTGTGTTGTGGCAGGCCAGACAAGACCTGGTGGGCAGGTTGCTGGGTGTGGGCAAGTGAATTGCCACCGACCCCTGGACCAATGGTGGAAGGCGTGACCTGGGTGTCCCGTGGCGGTGAGACGTCGTTCGGAGTATGCTGAGCTGGCCGTGTGGCTCTACTGCGCCGTGTGGCTCTCCTACGCCGTGAGGAGGCGGGCGGCGATGGTGTGATAGAGTGGCAAGATGAGTGGTCGCTGGATGCAGTAGAGGGAGTGGCGTCGTGAGTACGAGGCCTTCTAATGTTTGGATTCCGTGGCCTAAGTGGGATCCGCATAATGCGGCGGTTGGCAGGAGGTGGAGGAGGGGGTGGGCGAGCTTCAATGCTGCCACGACAGGCCTCAGCATTCCGCTGATGGGCCTTTAAAGATTTCAACTTCTCCATTACCAACCCACAGGCACGGCACTCAAATTGCAACGTGATACCATGCTCCCGCTTGAGGTGCCTGACCAATCCAGCGTGATCAATGTATTCACATGGGATTGGCAGGCAATGTTGACAACAGTGCGGTGGCTCGAGTGGTACTAAAACAGTGGTGGGAGGCATGGTAGACCAAATGTGCAGATGAAAGAAGTGGGAAAGGGGCGGAAAACCTCCTGGGGTGCCTAAGCAACCTACCAAGGGGAGGCGAGAAGAGGAAGAAAGCAGCGTATAGGAGAACTATACGCTGGGAAAGGATGCTCGCGCAGAGCACCGAATGGCTACCGCGAACGGCGCCGATAGAAACAGTGTTGCCGGTTGAGCAGCGAATACACGGTGCGTTTAAACCGTGCAGGCCGCTCTTCCGACGGAAGAGAGAAGGAGGTAGGACAGAGAAGTCAGTACAACTTACCCAGAGGCCGGGGAGCACTCAGCTCGGAATCCGGTTGGCAACCTGAAAAGAGACAGCAAAATTACATTAATATAATTAAGCTGATAAGAACAGAGTTAAAAGCCATTTATTGATATAATAATAAAAAATACATAAGTATACCATGGTAGGTAGGTAATGGTTAGACATGGGCTCATGGCCGCCAGTACAGAGATAAAATAAGTGGTGTAAAGATAAATGGTAGAAAAGGCAAAGTGCCTTAAAACGCGTTCCACGGGCACATAGCCAGCTATATGTACAAGGGGTGTTCGCGGTTACACGGGCTCAAGCCTGCTCAAATAACAATATTTACAAGATCGCGATTACAAGGGCTCATGCCAGATTATTGTGTGACAATAGGTAGTTTAGATGCGGTGTCCTAAATGTCTGGCGTATATGTCGCGGCTCCAGCGTATGCAGTCGCTAACCATCAGTTTTCTCATTAGTTTTGCATAGTTTCTGCTTACGCCGAGCCGTTGGAGGACGGAGTCATTGGCAGAGTCATACCCACCTAGGGATCCCACGACGAATGCGTCGATGAAGGTATCATATCCCTGTCGCCTGTAGTGGTTTGCCAATTCCTCGTATTTTTGGATTTTGTCGCTTCTTGCACGTTCAAAGGCATCAGCGCCATTTTCAAACGGCGTTGCGATGTCCACAATAGTTGCAGTCTTGGGGTTCTGGTTTATTACCACTAAGTCCGGTCTGCAGGAGCTGGGAAAGTCCGGGATTTGCTGGTTTATGTAGACGTTTAAGTCCTTATGATTGAAGGCCCTGTTGAGTCGGTCTAAGATGGCGTTGTGCCGCTTCGTAATCAGGTGAAGGTTCGGAGGACAGTGATTGATTACGTGTGCGAGGGTTTCACGGTGGCGTTGACATCTTCTGCAGGTCTGGCTGGCATTACCAAACCGGCGTAGGCCGCGCAGGGGTACTACGCTTAGCCTAGCACGGTGGATAAACCGCCAGTCAGCGAACCTTGTGAAGTTACCCTCGCGCAAGAAGTGGTTGCTATTGTTGTTGGCTGAGGTGATCTTAAATGCTTTCCCTTGATCAGGCTTATTGAGGAGGGATTGAAGAAATGTGGCTCTTACAGCGGCGCTGATCGACTTCATGGCTGTGGTTTTTTTGATTGGAGTGCCATCGAGTGTAGGAATTAAGGCTCCGTTTTCGGTGTGGGACCATTCGATGTTGATGCGCTTCTTGAGGCGGCGAGTGGCCATGCGCAGACGAGTCCAGGTCGATGGAATGTCGTAAGGGTCAGCGCCAAATTCATTATCCATGGAGCCGGCCAGATATGTGCAAAGGTCGGCCTCGGTCGGTTGGCGTTTTATTCTCTTCTCGACTACCAATTGCAGGGTCTTGGTTGCAAGGGTAGCGACGACCGGATCTTTGGATTGGATGAGGTTGATGGCGTGACTGACCTGGGCCACATCTGCTAAAACATTGCATGGCGTCACGTTAGCGCCACCTTGGGCATGCGGGATGTAGACTATTTCGGGGCTAGCGCGCTGAGGCAGATTCATCCATTTCTTTACGTTCCGTTTGATGACGGTGTCAAGTTGGCTCAATCTCTTTTTGTGCACCTTTCCAAGAGTAAGGTGAAAGGTGAGCCTGGACGTGAGGAAAGTGCTGACACAATCGATTTTCTGCCATGGGGCTAGAGGTGAATTATCGATGTGTTTGATGTCAGCTATGATACCGTCAATGGTGGAGTCGGCGGAACGCCCCAGCGTGAAGCCAGTGGGTATGCCTAAGTGATGATAGGAGTCGTTTTTCCCAAGACAGGGAATGTTGGAGTTCTGGATTCGAAAGTTGGAGCTATCAGAGCATTGGTACTTCCCTGCGACTGACAGGGTAGCGCATTTGGCCGGGTTGAAAGTAAGGCCGCTATGCAAAGCCCAGTTAGTAAGGAGGTCGAGTTGGGATTGTAATCCCGACGCGGAGCCGCTGACGATAGTAATATCATCAGCGTATGCCAGGATGGAAATGGCATGCTCGTGCAGACGGTACCCAAGTTGAAGGCTGTTGATGAGTCTGATCGCGGGCTCGATGACTAGGTTGAACAGGATGGGGCTTAGCGGGCAGCCCTGCTTCACCCCAGCCAAGACAGGGATGGGATCGGTGAGCCCTGTGTTGCTACGGATACGAGTGTGGCAGCCTTCTAAGAGGAGTTGGACACATTCGATTGAGGCTTCGTCAAGTCCGCACCACTTGAGACAGGAGTATATTGTTGAGTGCGGGACGGAGCCAAATGCGTTACGAAGGTCGAGCCACGCAACATGGCATTCGCCATTTTTACGGCGTGCATGCTGTATAGTAGACTGGAGGACATAGGAATGTTCCGAGCACCCTTCGAAACGCATGAACCCTTTTTGTGCGTTGGAGATGATTTCGTTGTCTTCGCACCAACGTAGAAGACGGTTGGCGAGACATGCGGAGTAAATTTTTCCAAGCGTATTGGCCAGTGCGATGGGCCTCCAGTTGTGGATGTCGTTGGGATCGCCCTTTTTGTGGAGGAGGATTGTAGTAGAGGTTTTCCACGCACTAGGAACGTGGCCAATACGCTGGACGGCATTGAACACAGCCGAGAGGATGTGTCCCTGCGGGTCCAGGCGCCGCCAGATGTAATAACGGATCCCGTCAGGGCCCGGGGCCGTGTTATGGCACTTAGTGAGACGTTTGGCAACCTCAGTTGGTGTGAAGGTGGTATGGAGAGGGTTGCTCGTCGTTGGTTGCAGCCTAGGTGGAAGAAGGCTGCATAAGGGTTCGGAGGGTGCTGGATTGGTGGCAGAGAAGTGCTCCGTGAGGGCAGCCTTACTGGCAGAACAGAATCGGCTGGCCCCCCGAGTGACTTCTTCGAACGCCTTGTGTTTATTTGCTCTATAAAGGCGTTGAAGCCTGCTAGCCTCAGCAGGATTGAAGTTGCCGCGACGGTTGTTGTTGCGGCTACGTGCAGGCCTTGTCCGGTTGGGACGATGTGGTGGCCTATGTTGTTGAGGGGTCATGCTCTGAGCGAGGCAGGTAAGGTCGTCTACCATCGTTTCGAGCATGTCCTCATCGACTGCATAGTTGAACCTATCCCGCCAAGCGAGGACCCAGGATGGAGGGTCGGAGGAGGTGTTGTATTCCGGCGGATGGCTTGCAGGAGTGCAAGGCCGGGGCACGGGATCTGTGGCAAGAGCGGGAGGGGGCTGTGGGCAGTCAGCTGTAGCGGCTTCGGGGACGGTGTTGGTGTCCAGATGAGGAGCCGTGGACGGACTGGGCTCAGCAGTGGTGGTTCCATTGGAATCGGCGGGGCTGTCAGGAATGCTGTCTTGACTGCTTGCAGCGTCCGGAGTGTCGGATGGTTTACGGCGTCTACGGCGGCGTGGGCGTCTTACTAGAGGAGTAGGCGAGGTGTCGCTGGCAGTGCTGGTTGGAGTGGGACCGACATCCTGGATGGTGCTTGTCGCTGTTGGAGTAGCTCCGGCTGGACTGGTATCGACGGCTGGAGGAGGACTGGCTGTAGGAGGATGAGCCGCAGGAGTGGGCCTGGGATGTGAGGTAGGGAGCCGAGGGTGGCTGCTACTTACCTCGCTGTTGAGGGCGGCCTGCGAGGCGAGGTAGGCCTCGTCAAGACCGTAGTCAGTTTGGCGTAGTCGTCTCCGTGCGCCAGTGGGTATTTTCCCTCGCTGCTTTGGGTCCCTGGCTTGATCGGGAGACATGGAGGGGAACATGTTGGAGCATTGCGTTGAACGGGCTTGGTGAAGTTTCAGCTCCTTCAGTTTGTCTGACTGTCTTCCACATGCTCGGCATTCAAAATTGAGACGCCCGCCATGAATACGTCGAAGGTGGCGTGACAAGCCGCCGTGGTCGACGTAATCCCTGTAAACAGGGAGGCACGCTGGGCAGTGATAGGGTGGCCGGAGCGGTACCAGAAGGGTAACATTTTGTGGATTGGCCATTGATCGCAATGTGTAGTTCTGATGGATAGGAGAAGGGTGGGAAAAAAGGTGAGGAAAAGCCCCCTGGGGTGCGGAGCAACCAACCAAGTAGGGGCAGGAAGGGGAAGAAAGTGGCGGAAAGGATGCTCACGCAGAGCACCGAACAGTCCCAACAAGAGTTGGAGACGATAGAACAGTGTTGCCAGTCGAGCAGCGAATACACGGTGCGTTTAAACCGTGCAGGCCGCTCTTCCGGCGGAAGAGAGAAGAGTGTAGGACAGAGAAAGTAGCAAAACCAAAATATACTTACCCAGAGGTCTGGGGAGCAATGTGGGGCTCGAAGTCCAGTTCTGGTCCTAATTTAGGCAGAAAACATCAAGCTGATAAGAACAGATACTACACTTTGATCTTAGCCAAAAGGCCGAGAAGCGATAACCACAGAGAGTCCCTCTCCGAAATCATTCGCAAAACGTTCGTCCGCTCGAGGGTGAACGAAATTTCTATCGTGGAGTGCAATTTCCAACAGCAACAGCATCATTTACTGATGGTTCTCACTTCAAATAACTATCACAGACCACCAATTTACTCACTACAGTTTTATTTTACTGCAAGAATTATGAAAAATTCAATTTATTAATGCTATGAGTCCTCCTCTGCCTTCACCCCCCCTAAGACATTAACAAAACGTTGCCACCCTCACATACATCAATAGATGTCGCCTCTGTATCATTTCAACACAGATTATAAAAATATTTTATTCAATTTTTGAGAAGACAAAAAATCAATAAAATCTCGAAATAATCTCAAAATAATAAAAGAGGGGATTTGCAAAATTTTTATGTCCCCTTTTAATTACTTTGTGTGATAACTGATAAAACGATGTTAAAGTTAAAGTTAAACATAAAAAATTTCACACACAAATTGAATTTGCTATTTCATAAAATTTTGTTAGGAACTAAATTATCCGTTTTTAATTTTTATAATTATTAGCATCTAGTGTTTAATTAGATATCTTACTACATTTTGATTAGATATTTAAAAAAAATTTTNCTTTTTGTGGAGGAGGATTGTAGTAGAGGTTTTCCACGCACTAGGAACGTGGCCAATACGCTGGACGGCATTGAACACAGCCGAGAGGATGTGTCCCTGCGGGTCCAGGCGCCGCCAGATGTAATAACGGATCCCGTCAGGGCCCGGGGCCGTGTTATGGCACTTAGTGAGACGTTTGGCAACCTCAGTTGGTGTGAAGGTGGTATGGAGAGGGTTGCTCGTCGTTGGTTGCAGCCTAGGTGGAAGAAGGCTGCATAAGGGTTCGGAGGGTGCTGGATTGGTGGCAGAGAAGTGCTCCGTGAGGGCAGCCTTACTGGCAGAACAGAATCGGCTGGCCCCCCGAGTGACTTCTTCGAACGCCTTGTGTTTATTTGCTCTATAAAGGCGTTGAAGCCTGCTAGCCTCAGCAGGATTGAAGTTGCCGCGACGGTTGTTGTTGCGGCTACGTGCAGGCCTTGTCCGGTTGGGACGATGTGGTGGCCTATGTTGTTGAGGGGTCATGCTCTGAGCGAGGCAGGTAAGGTCGTCTACCATCGTTTCGAGCATGTCCTCATCGACTGCATAGTTGAACCTATCCCGCCAAGCGAGGACCCAGGATGGAGGGTCGGAGGAGGTGTTGTATTCCGGCGGATGGCTTGCAGGAGTGCAAGGCCGGGGCACGGGATCTGTGGCAAGAGCGGGAGGGGGCTGTGGGCAGTCAGCTGTAGCGGCTTCGGGGACGGTGTTGGTGTCCAGATGAGGAGCCGTGGACGGACTGGGCTCAGCAGTGGTGGTTCCATTGGAATCGGCGGGGCTGTCAGGAATGCTGTCTTGACTGCTTGCAGCGTCCGGAGTGTCGGATGGTTTACGGCGTCTACGGCGGCGTGGGCGTCTTACTAGAGGAGTAGGCGAGGTGTCGCTGGCAGTGCTGGTTGGAGTGGGACCGACATCCTGGATGGTGCTTGTCGCTGTTGGAGTAGCTCCGGCTGGACTGGTATCGACGGCTGGAGGAGGACTGGCTGTAGGAGGATGAGCCGCAGGAGTGGGCCTGGGATGTGAGGTAGGGAGCCGAGGGTGGCTGCTACTTACCTCGCTGTTGAGGGCGGCCTGCGAGGCGAGGTAGGCCTCGTCAAGACCGTAGTCAGTTTGGCGTAGTCGTCTCCGTGCGCCAGTGGGTATTTTCCCTCGCTGCTTTGGGTCCCTGGCTTGATCGGGAGACATGGAGGGGAACATGTTGGAGCATTGCGTTGAACGGGCTTGGTGAAGTTTCAGCTCCTTCAGTTTGTCTGACTGTCTTCCACATGCTCGGCATTCAAAATTGAGACGCCCGCCATGAATACGTCGAAGGTGGCGTGACAAGCCGCCGTGGTCGACGTAATCCCTGTAAACAGGGAGGCACGCTGGGCAGTGATAGGGTGGCCGGAGCGGTACCAGAAGGGTAACATTTTGTGGATTGGCCATTGATCGCAATGTGTAGTTCTGATGGATAGGAGAAGGGTGGGAAAAAAGGTGAGGAAAAGCCCCCTGGGGTGCGGAGCAACCAACCAAGTAGGGGCAGGAAGGGGAAGAAAGTGGCGGAAAGGATGCTCACGCAGAGCACCGAACAGTCCCAACAAGAGTTGGAGACGATAGAACAGTGTTGCCAGTCGAGCAGCGAATACACGGTGCGTTTAAACCGTGCAGGCCGCTCTTCCGGCGGAAGAGAGAAGAGTGTAGGACAGAGAAAGTAGCAAAACCAAAATATACTTACCCAGAGGTCTGGGGAGCAATGTGGGGCTCGAAGTCCAGTTCTGGTCCTAATTTAGGCAGAAAACATTAAGCTGATAAGAACAGATTTAAAAGCCATTTATTAAGATTAATAAAAAATACAAGGCCAATGGTGGCAGCAATATGTGAGACATGGGCTCTTAGCCAGCCAGTAAGAGTACAAAGGTGTTGGAGTACAGGAGGAATGGTAAAGGGAGGCGGAGCTCCAGCGCGTGAGATTGGTGAGGGCCATAAGCAGTGAGCCTATGGGCCAGACCATACAGATCGCGAGGTGGGGGCCATGAAATGGCAAACAAAGAGAGAAGAGCCTATGTGGAAGGCTGTACAAATGGTGAGCGCGGTTACATGGGCGTACTGCGCCGATTATGTACAGTATTATATACAATTATGCAAAGACCCGAGTACAGAAGTGAGTAGGAGGTTGTCGCGTACATGGGCACTAGCCAGCTTAGTGGTTACATTGACGTGGGATAGTTGCACATTAGTGTTGGCGGCGAGAGCATAAATGGTTGGTATAAATGTCTCTACTCCATTTAATGCTATCGCTTACCATGAGTCTTTTCATCAATTTGGAGTAGTTGCCTCCACTGGTGGTTCAACTGATGCCCAATCCAATTTTTCTTCTTCCGGAATTAATTCCATTTCCTCTTCCTGTGTGAAGACTTCTACACTACCAGACGAATCCAAAAGATCTTCTAACTGTCGGGCCATCTCTCTAGTCTCAGGTGTCTCCAACCCATCTACTGCCTCAGAGTCTGCTGCTTGACTTCGTGTCAAGCCATCCATCTCCTGCAGTCTATCCAGCTATCAAGTAGCTTGTTAGGTTGAGTAAAAAAGTCAAAGACTAACTCACCAACTGTCCAAACACTAACTTCTTTTTTCTTTTCCACAGTCCAATTTTCCTTCGAGAATCCAATAATTTGTAATAATTATCAAGTCCTTGGTCTTAGCCAATAAGGCCGAGAAGCGATAAAAAACACATCAAAGGTGCCGACGGGCCAAGTCTGGAAACGTACAATACACGTGTGGTGTGTCCAGGTGACGTCGATCGGCAAATATCCGTTAATACACACGAAAGAACGTCAGGAAANTTTGGAGTAGTTGCGTGAGACTCCTAGACGTTGCAGAGTACGTTCGTTCGCCGGGTCGTAGCCGCCAAGGGCTCCTATAATAAAGGCGTCCAGGAAGGTGTCGTACCCTTGGTGTTTAAAGTAGTCTGCTAGGTCGGCATATTTCATGGTTTTCTCCGATCGAGCCTGGTTGAACGCCTCTTCGCCATTTTCGAATGGCGTTGCAACGTCTATTATGGTGACAGTCTTAGGGTGCTCGTTGATTACAACAAGGTCCGGCCGACAATTGTGTGGGTAACCTGGGACCTGTTGATTGACGTATACCTTTAGTCCCTTGCGATCGAAGGCGTTGTAGAGTCTTGTAAGAATCGCATTGTGGCGTTTGGTGATCATGGCGAGGTTAGGGGGGCAGTGATTTATCACGTGCGCCAGGGTCTCCCGATGTCGTTGGCATCTCCTGCAGGTCTGGCTGGCGTTCCCGAACCGTCTGAGGCCACGTAGAGGTACTACACTCAGGCGTGCACGGTGGATAAAGCGCCAGTCAGCAAACCTGGTGTAATTGCCATCGTGGAGGAAGTGGTTGCTGCACGGTGCCCCTGCAATTAGTTTGAAAGTCTTACCTTGATCGGGTTTTCGTAGCAAGGATGTAAGGAAGGATGCCTTAACCGCAGTTGAGATGGATTTCATCGCGGTTGTCTTGGTAAGTGGCTTTCCGTCGATCGTAGGAGTGATAGTGTCGTCTCCTACTGCTTGCCATTCGAGGTTGATGTGTGAGTTCAGACGCCGGGTGGCCATCCTTAAACGGGTCCATGTGGACGGGATGTCGTACGGGTCGAATCCAAATTCGCCCTCCATGGAGCCTGCAAGGTACTTACATAGGTCGATGTTAGTGGGTTGGCGTTTGATGCGTCTTTCGACCACGAGCTGTAGTGTTTTTGTGGCGAGGCTGGCAACGGTGGGGTCCCTGGATTGTAGGAGGTTGATTGCATGGCTTACCTGCGCCACATCGGCCAGGATGCCGCATGGAGTGATGTTGGCCCCTCCTTGGGCATGCGGCATGTGGATTATCTCTGTGCTGGCGCGCTGTGGGAGGTTCATCCATTTTTTGATGAGTCTTTTGATGGCTCTGTCCAAATTGTTGAGGGGTTTCTTTTGGACTTTACCCAGCGAGAGGTGGAAGGTCAACCTAGAAAGGAGAAAAGTACTTACACAGTTGATCTTCTGCCAGGGAGCCAGAAGAGAGTTGTCTATGTGTTTGAGGTCTTTGTGGATGTTCTCGATGACAGCTTCGGCCGACTTTTCGAGGGTGAAGCCGGTCGGGATGCCTAGATGATGGTAGCTGTCCTTCTTTTGGAGTTGTGGGATGTCCGTGCCCTGAAGATTGAAGCGGTTGCCGTCGTCACAGTTGTATTTTCCGGTGACCGAGAGGGCTGCGCACTTCGCAGGGTTGAACCGTAGTCCGCATTTATTAGCCCATGTGGCAAGAAGGTCCAATTGTGCTTGAAGGCCGTCGACGGTGCTGCTGACGATAGTGATATCATCCGCATAGGCGAGGATGGATATCTGTTGACCATGGAGATGGTACCCCTTGTTGAGGTTGGTCACAAGGCGGAGTGCTGGTTCTACAACCAGGTTGAATATGATGGGGCTGAGGGGGCAGCCCTGCTTAACCCCAGCGCTGACAGGAATTGGGTCCGTGAGGCCAGTGTTGGATCGAATACGTGTGTGACAGTCGTCGAGGAGGGTTTTTATGCACTGAGTGGATGGTTCGCCGAGGCCACTCCACTGCAGGCAGGCGAGGATGGTGCTGTGGGGTACAGACCCAAAGGCATTGGCCAGGTCCAGCCATGCCACATGGCACCCCTTGTTTTTTCGTCGTGCATCCTGTATAATGGATTGTAAAGTGAAGGAATGCTCTGAGCATCCTTCAAAGTGCATAAATCCCTTTTGGCTGGTGGAGATTACCTTGTTGGCTTCGCACCAGCGGAGGAGCCGGCTTGCTATGCATGCGGAGTATACCTTACCTAGTGTGTTGGCAAGGGCGATCGGTCTCCAGTTGTTGATGTTATTGCGGTCGCCCTTTTTGTGGAGAAGTATGGTTGTGGATGTCTTCCATGAGCTAGGTACAGCGCCGATTCTCTGCACTGCATTGAAAAGTGCGGAGAGAATGTGCCCCTGTGGGTCGAGGCGACGCCAGATGTAGTACTTGATACCATCGGGTCCCGGGGCGGTGTTGTGGCATTTAGCAAGTCTGCTGGCCACTTCAGATGGTGAGAAGGTGGTGCAGAGTGGGTTGTCATCATCGGGTTGTGGACCTGGAGGTAAAAAGGTTGTCAGTGGTTCAGGCGATGTCAGGTGGTGGGTGTTGATACTTCTGAAATGGTCCTCTAGGTCCTGCCTGCCGATGTTGCAGAAACGGCTTGGGCCGCGTGTTATCTCGCTGAAGGCCTTGGCTTTGTTGGCCCGGTAGAGGCGCTGCAGGCGGCTGGCTTCTGCTGCATCGTACCTGTGGCCGTGCCGGGGTCTTGGTTGGCGTTGCTGGTGTTGGTGGCGTGGAGGTCTAGCGGGCGGTTGTGGGGCCATGCTTTTGGCGAGATGAGTGAGGTCTTCTACCATTACCTCCAGCATGTCCACATCAAGCGCGCAGTTGAACCTTTCCTTCCAGGCGACGACCCATGCTGGTAGTGCAGTGTCGTCGGCGTCTGGTGATGGTGGCTGGACCGGTTGCACACTAGGCTGAGGTGTACCATCGTTGTGGGCTGGAAGGTTTGTCGGCTGGTGGTCACGTGGCTGGCTTGGTGGAGGGGTGATGTTCCCACTGGTAGAGTTGCCTGGGGTAGCCGGGATCGGTTCTGCAGGGCTGTTGGTGTTGGGAGGGCTGCTTACCTGTCGACGTCTGGAGCGGCGTGGGCGTCTTATCAGCGGCGGCGGAGAGTCGTTATTGGTCGGCTGAGGTGGGCCTATGGACCAGTTGTTAATTCTCGTAGGTGGTGTGGAGGCTGTTACGCTGGCGTAGGTGGGTGGTTGAGCTGCTGGGCTGGCTGCAGCATCAGAGGTTGTTGGTTGGCCGGTAGGATCACCGTTTTCAGTGATAGCTTGGGAGGCCAAGTAGTCCTCGTCCACTCCATAGGTCTGGCGCCTCGTCTTCCTGGGCCCTGTGGGGACCCGTGGGCGTGGTTTGGGATCTCTGGCCGTGCTCTCAGGCGACATAGATGGGAGTTGCGCTGAGCACGTAGCTGATTTGGCTTGGTGTAGTTTCACTTCTTTCAGCTTTTCAGAGCGGACATGGCACGCTCGGCACTCGAACAGAAGGCGACCGCCGTGGTTGCGTCTAATGTGACGGGCGAGGCCCCCATGATCCACGTAGTCACGGTAGACAGGGAGGCAGGCAGGGCAGTGGTAAGGCGGACGTAATGGCACTAGTAGTATGGCCTCTGTTGGGCTGTTGGTCGCCATAGGTCAAATGTGTAGTATATAGAGGGGGAGGAGAAAAGGGGCGGAAAAGCCTCTTGGGGTGCTAGGGGCAACCAACCAAGAAGAGGCAGGAAGGGGAAGAAAGAACTGCTGCTTGGGTCGGCCCAGGCAGCAGTGGAAGTACACGTTGCGTCGTGACCAGTGATCACGCCGCGACAGAAAAGTGGTTGCTGGTCAGGCAGCGAATACACTGTGCGTTTAAACAGTGCAGGCCGCCCTTCCAGCGGAAGTAGGAAGAGTAATAGGAAAGAGAAAAACGCTAAAAACTACTTACCGACTCGGCGGGGAGCATCCGGCTCGGAATCCTGGAGTCGTCGAAATGGGGCANATATCTTTTTTTCTATAGCTTTAATATCTTCGTTTGATAGTCTAGTCACATATAGTGTGTACATAATTTTAGCTATTAATATTCTGTTTGCTATTATTGTACGCTCTGGTAAATAGAACCAATTAGTGCTCCAGTCTTTAATCCCCTCGTCAATCTTTTGTATCATATTTTCCAGATTTTTTTGTCTATTGTTTTTGCCGAACCAAACACCAAAAATTTTTATGTCATCAACTATCTCTATATCCATTATGTCACAAGTTAACTGGCTGTTGATACAGAAAAGTTTACTTTTTTTCTCATTAATTTTCATACCGGTAAGTGCTCTGAAGTTCTCTATGTGTCTAATTGTTCTATTAAGAGATGGTTTGTCTAAAATAAAGAAGTTGACATCGTCTGCGTGCGCTATGTATTTAATGTTTTTGTTCATGCCTGGGATGTGTACCGGAGTAACAATGTTATCATTACTGACCATTTTCAATAAAACTTCTAAATATATAGTAAATAATATCATGGAACTGGGGCACCCCTGGCGTACCCCAGCTTTACAATCAATGTCATTGGATTCATTATTATTAATTAGGATTTTAGTGAAGGGATCTTGATAGAGTGTTTTTATTGCGTTTATTTCTTTCTCATTTAGACCAAAACTGTATAAGATTTTCCATAGTACTTCTCTGTTTATTGAGTCAAACGCTTTTTCTACGTCTATGGAAAGGATTGCTAGGGGTATGCCACGTTTTGTGTATAATTCTTGTAAAAGGTTTATAAACATGATATTGTTTTGAATCGATCTGTCTTTAATTCCAGCGCTTTGTGTAGCCCCTATATGGTTTCTAAAAAGGTTTTCAAGTCTTTTACATAATATGTTGCTATAAATTTTGTAATCTAAATTTAGAAGGGTGATTGGTCTAAAGTCCCCTACTTTTTTACCTATGTTGTCTTTTTTGTTTATTAATACCATCTTCCCTTGGTTAAAAGTTTTCTCCCTTGTCTCATTTTTAAATAAGTTGAAGAATAATTCTTCAAAATCATTATTGAAAAACTTATATATTTCCGCTGGGATCCTATCAGTTCCAGCTGCTTTTCTTATATGTAAATCATTAATAGCTTCACTAATCTCATCTTTGGTGATTTCTTTGTTAATGATATTATCATTGTAATCTTTTATAGGTTTAATGTATTTGCTTACTTCATCCCAGTAACTCCAGTTAGTTGTGGGTCTGCTATAAAGGTGAGTGTAAAATTTTTCAAATTCATTTTTTATATTGTTTTCATTAGTTGTTATTTTGTTATCAATAATCAAGCTATTAATTTCAAGCGTTTCTCTATGTTTGTTCTTTTTTTCGAAAACTATCTTTTCCGCCTGTCTGCTAATTCCAATTTTATTCATCCTATACCTTACGTAGTTGTCTTTTACTCTATTGTCTAGTTCTATACTGATCTCTTCTTCAATGCTTTTAATATCCTCAATTTTATTTTCAATTATTTTCATACTAAGAATCCTTTGTAGGTATTTTATTTTATCAAATCTTTTTCTTTTTATTTTTCTCCAAGTATGTTCAGTGATATTCTCTATTTCTTTTTTTATATTGTTCCAATTTTTCCAATTTATATCTTTTTTATTATTCTCTAATAGATTTTTAATTTTGTTTTGAAATTCAATATCATCAAGAATTTCTTTTGTTAATTTGATTTTGTTCCTTTGTTTGTTGTTATTATCAATATCTAATTTTATTTCTATCATTTGTGGTCTGATAGGTTTCTATCGTCAACAGTTAATCTATATAAATTTATATCATTTATGTTACCTATTATACCATTTATATATATGCGGTCTAACCTTTCTTTTATGCCTCTACTTTCCCATGTGTATCCTGGAGAATTTGGATATTTATGACGATAACTATCTATAAGGTGGTAGTCTTCTATTATTTTTGTTAAAATTTTCCTAGTACCATCTGGCATAAGAGGTCCATTCTTGTCATTTCCACTTAACATGCAATTAAAATCACCAGCTATTATTATATCTCTCCCTCCGCTGATATATTTGGGCAGTTCATGAAAGAAATCTCTTCTCAAGGACACACATGGAGGGGCATATAGATTAACTATTTTCATTAATCTGTTTTTTATCTGAAAGTCTACAACAATAATCCTACCTTCTGAATCAGTTCTAAAATCACTAACTTTTAACCTTTTATGAATTAAAGTTAGGACCCCAGTGCTTCTTCTCGTGGCAAATGATGCATATATATTATATTCTACAAAAATTTTTCTTAACATTCTGAGGTCATTGAAATCATAAATATTTGTGTCTTGCAATAGCAAGATGTCAATATCATGAGTTAATACTAAATTTAACATATATATTTGTTTTTCTTTACTCCTAAAACCAGAAATATTTATGGTTCTTATATTTATATTATTTTTACTACCCATTATTGGTTTTGCTATCTGTTTCTTTCGCTAGCCTATACAGGTCAGTGGCTGATAAAGTTTTTCTCATTCCTGATTGTTCTGCCATTTTTCCTACTAGTTTATTTAATTCAGCTATTTTCTGTGCTTCTGTTAAATCTGTTCTCTTTTCTAAGTTGTATATTTGTATATGTCTTTTCACATTCCTTTCTTTGATTGTTCTTTTTCTACTAACTTTTCTTTTTCCCTTTCTTTCTGGTGTTATTTCCTCGCATCTACTTATTTCTATTATAGGTTGTTTGATTATTTCTTTGGTGGGTTTCTGCCCTCTTTCTATGCTTGTTGTTTGGCTATTTTCTACGCTTTCTATTTGACTGTTTTCTAAGTTTTCTATTTGACTGTTTTCTATACTTTCTATTTGACTATTTTCTGAATTTTCATTTATGTTGTTTTCTTGTTTTGTGTTTGTATTACTTTGATCTATATCTATTTCCTCAGTTTCTAATTCCTCTATCTCTACTACCTTATTTTTTGTTTGTTTCTCCTTTTTCCATTTATCTAAACTTCTTTCTCTTCTTTCTAGGCTTTGTTTACGTGGACCTTTTTTACAGATATCCGCAAATGTCTGTTTAGGACATTGTTGTTCCTTATTATGGACTTTTCCACAATTATAACAGGCGGGGCAATTTTTAATTAAATGCTGAATACTTTTGCATCTATAACATTTTTTTTACCGGACAATCCTTGATTTCGTGATCAGGATCGCCGCAACGCAAACATTCCTTTCTAACTCCTACGTATAAAATTTGTATTCTTTTTCCAAATATTTCTAAATAGCTAGGTATCTTTTTTCTAGTAACTATGGGGACTCGATAACTACCTGTCTTTACTTTGGTTCCCGGATAGTATAAAGGGTATATATTTATGACTTTGCCGTATTTCCCTAATATCTCTTTTAATAATGTTTCATCTATCTCGTAGGGTACTAATCTTACCGTTATTGAGATTAATTCTGTCTCTAAACTCTCTATTGTATAATTAACTCCTCCTACCTGTATATCCCTTCCTATGAGATGCTCTTTATCTTCCACTGAGTCAAGTCCAATTTCTACTATTCCTTTCGGATGATAGCATACTTGTTTCACAGCTCCTTCTTTTTGCAGACGACTTTCACACACTTTAATGAGTTCTATGGTGTCCATTCTCTGTTGGGCTGTTATTCTCACTGATTTAATTGTTGTGTATTTTTTAATTTTGTCCTTTTCTTCTTCACTTATCGGAGTATCCAATATTGGGTCTTTTTCACACACACTGATTGAATCATCTTGATTCAACATTTCGTGGTCGTTGGGGATTTCACTTTCTCCCCATGAAGCACTACTTGTAGATGGTTTATCCATTTTGGTATCTTATTTTATCCAATTGGGCACACATACACAATACACTATATTCCTATAGGCACTGTAATCCAATAGGTGCACTGTTATCCAATGAACGCACAATAATCCAATGGGCACACTGTATTCCAATGGTATCCAAATAGCACACGATCACTGCACTATACAAACTGCAGACTCGCTAAGACCAAAAGGAAGCACTGGAAGTATGAAGGGGAATACGACTGACCCATAGGCAGGTGGTAGGGGAAGGAAAGAAAACCTGGTGTGAGCTCCACATCAGGGTAAGGGGATAGTGTGGGGGCGAACCCGCCACAAAAGGGGGAAAGATTTGCTGTCCGGTCAGCGAATACACGCTGTGTTTCAAGCGTGCAGGCCAACCTTTCAGCGAAGAGAAAAGGCTATAGAACAGTGAAAAAACAAAAATCTAGATACTTACGAATACAGCCAGATCAGAGAACAGATACTGTGGTTTTAAAGTTTGTAATTTTGCCAAAGACAACTTCATTTACAGTTGGATTTCCTTCACGCTATCTCCAAACAAACAATAGCAGTAAAAAGAAACAGCCTGTTATAATCCCGCAGGCTGTTCAGAAGAAAAGGCAAGCGCAAAATGTGCATTTATTTTCAACCACATAAAAACTTACAAAAATGTTAGAAAAACATACAATTCTGACAAACCCGACAATATAAAACAATTCATTAGTACAATACATTTGAATAAAACATTTAAACATCAAAGCCAACAGGGCATAACTAAAAATTACAAAAACCTGCGTTTAAAACACAGGTAAAAATATAAACAGGTAAAGTATAAAATTTTACATTATAAAATACCAAAATGGCAAAATTTACAACTCAAATTTTCCTTTAGGTACTAATTACAATAAACAAAACAACATCAAAGAAGAAGTTAATTAAACAAACTAGATAAGTAAGTTAAAATTAAAACATATCACCAATCATCATTAAACCTAATCTGTTCATTTTGAATTTTAAATATTACTTCTGTTCCTCGGTAACAGCTACTTTTTTCTCTTTCCGACATTTTTTCAAAATCGCTTCGGATTTTATAACACATTTCTTGTTTGATTTTTACAATCAACAAAGTAGCATTCCATACTCTTCTTTCAAATGTCAAGAGACATCGACATTTCCACAACATACGTTTAACTAGAGCTATACAATAGTTTAATAAATATACACTCTGATTCCTTAATACTAAATCTGTCTGATATTTAACTTTATACCAGTCAATATTTGTCTTCCATATCCTCGAGACCCAGGACCATGCTGATTTTGCGATTCGACACTCATAAAAAATATGCACAATAGATTCCACATCACCACATCTTCTACATTTTTCATCTCTAACTTTATGATATATACGTAGATATTCTTTACTCATTACAACGTTTGATAATATTCTCCACGAAATTTCAATATACTCAACTGGCAAGCTATAAATATTCTTCCATATTTTTGACCAATCAAGACCACTATTAATCATATTTATATTTGGATATTGACTATGAATTAGTCTATAAATCTGCATCGGTCTTACTTTTCTATCTAAATCGATTACATTAGCAAAATCATTAATTATTTTTCTTAACAACTCTCTCCATTTTTTAAATTTTCGTTTATTTGTAATCATGAAAGGGAAATTCGCCTCCAGTTGAGTAAAGTATTTAGAGATCGGCCCTATTATATAACGTACAAGATAAAAACATGGATGATTTTTCTCTCAAGATATTTATCATCAGACTTAACTGTAACGAATTTTCAAAATCTTTTAATTCGATCATTCCCCATCCTCCATTTTCTATATCATTACGCATAATTTTTCTATTCGTAGGTTCAAATGTGTTGTTCCAAAGGTAGTTATAAATATATTTCTCTATTTCTTTTATATCATTTTGACTTAAATTTGTTATATACATTTTATAAATCATTTTTGGTATAACAATTCTATTTATTACTTGTGCCCGTTCTGGCATATAAAGCCAATTTTGCGACCAATCATCTATTTCTGTCTTTATCTTGTCTTTTATTTCATTCATATTATTTACCTGTGCATTTTTTCCGTACCAGACCCCCAGTACCCTTATTGTGTCCACTCGTTCTATTTCACTCTGTACAATTCCTATATTTCCTACTACATCTAATATTTTACATTTATTTTTATTTATCATCATCCCCGTTAATTCACAAAAATTCTGTAGTCTCAACAGTATTCTATTTAAACTTTATCCATTTACCACTAAAAAGGTAATATCATCAGCATGGGTGACATATAAAACTCTCTCAATCATTCCGGGGATGTATATCGATTCAATTAATTTATCATTATTTATACTCTGTAGTAAAGTCTCAATGTAGATTGCAAATAGTGTCATTGAGCTAGGACAACCTTGTCTCACTCCAATATTACAATCTATCTCATCTGAAGTCTTATTATTTAAATAAATAAAAGTTCTGGGGGCCTGATATAAACGCTTTATATACCAAATTTCTTCACTATTCAGTCCATAACATTCCAAAAATTTCCACAACACATCTCTATTTACCATATCGAAAGCGCGCTTTACATCAATAGAAAGCAAAGATAACGGTACATCTCTTTCTTTATAATAATCCTGTATAAGTCGTAAAAACACTATATTATTTTGTATTCGTCTATCTTTTACACCTGCACTCTGTGTATTACCTATAAAATTTTTAAACACCGACTCGATTCTTTTTGCTATAATCATACTATAAATTTTAAAATCAATATTTAAAAGAGTAATAGGTCTAAAGTCTAAAACCCCCGTATCCATGTTATCATTTTTATTTATTAAAATCATCTTCCCATAGCAAAAAGTGCTATTAAAATCTGTAAATTTGTATAAAGTATAAAAAATATTAATAAAATCATCGGCAAAAAACCTATAAAACTCCGCGTTAATATTGTCCCTTCCCGGTGCTTTATGCAAATGGAGAGACTGGATCGCCTCTCTTATCTCATCCTTCGTTATTTCTTTATTTATCACGTTATCTTGTTTTTCTTTTACAGGTCGAATTCCATTAAAAATATCCTCACTTCCGGTTTCATCATTTTGTAAATCTCGAAATAAATAAGTATAATAAGAATGAAACTTTTGTATTATCCGATCAGAACTTCTTATCTCATTTCCAAACTCATCAATTAACCTATCTATCTCTAAACTTTCCTTCATCTTTACTTTCTTCTCGAACACCGCTCTCTCTGCCTCTCTTTTTATACTGCATCTATCCAATTTATATCTAATATAACTATTTTTATTCTTTTCATCAATTTCCCTTATTATTTTCCTTTCAATTTTTTCTACTTCTTCCTCTTTATTTTGCAAAATTGCTAATGTTAACTCTCTCTGTAAAGCTTTTATTTTTATAAAATTTGCTTTTTTTCGTCTCTTCCAAGCCTTCTCTACCTCTTTTAATATACCTTTCTTTAAACTATTCCAACTTTCCCAATTTATTACTCCTACATTTTTATCTAACATCTCTTTTACTTTTTGCCTAAAAGTTTCATCGTCTAATATCTCTTTAGTTATTTTAATTCTCTTTTCTCTTCCTTCCCCTTTACTCATTTCTATCTCGACCTGAACCATCTTATGATCTGATAACGTTTTATTCTCTGTTTCTACTCTATAACATTTTATATCTTTTATTTTATCTATACTTTCTGTCACATAAATACGATTTAGTCTCTCCTTTACTCCGCGCCCCTCCCACGTGTACCCCGGATAACAGGGATAAAGTTTTCTAAAAACGTCATAGAGATTAAAATCGTCAATGATACGACGTAAAACATTTCTCGATCCGTCGTACATCAGAGGACCATTTTTATCTAACACATTTAAAACACAATTAAAATCTCCCATAACAATCACGTCTCTTCCCACTCTTATAAAATCACTTAAAACTTTAAAAAATTCTTTTCTTTCATAAATTCGAGTCGGTGCATACACACTAATAATTCTAATGGGTCGATCTCTAACACTTAAATCCACTGCTATAATTCTACCATTTACATCAGTACGAAAATCATTTACCTTGAGTGTCTTTCTAATTAATAACAATACACCAGTACTTCTACGCACAGCAAAAGAAGCATAGATATTATATTTTACAAACATTTTTCTCAACCTTCGCAAATCATTAAAGTCTCTTATATTTGTGTCCTGGATCCCGAGGACGTCTATTTTATTTGTCATAACCAAATTTACCAAATAGATTTGCTTCCCTAAATCTCTCATCCCAGAAATATTTACAAATCTTATATTTAAAATTCTACTATCCATTTTCAGTCTTTTTCTGTGTTTTCTTAGTTATTCCTTCTCTTTCTAACGCCCTAGTTATCATATAATTCTTTTTTATCTCCTCTTGTGAGCTATCTATTTGTTCTTTTTGTTGTTCCCCGATATCTCCTATTTTTTGTTCTCTGGCTATTATCGCCTTTTTACATTGTTCTGTCCTCATACTTGTATTTTTCCTTTTTATCCTACTTCTCTTTGTATCCGATTCCCTAAAATCACTCTTATCATTTTCCATTTCCTTAACCATCTGTTGTACTCTCCCCTGCTCAATTTCTCTATCACTATTTTCTTCTCCCTCCTCCTCGCTTTTTTCTATTCCCTTTGACACTATCAATAACTCTTGAACTATTACTTTACCCAATTCTTTCTCAACCTGCTCTATATCTCTCTCCTCATCTCTTTCTCTACTCTTTTCCCTTTTCCATCTGTCTAAACTCCTCTCTCGCCTTCTCTCTAGACTCACTTTTCTTGGACCTTTTCTACAAATCTCCGAAAACAGCGGCATAGGACATCTTTCCCCTTTATCGTGTCTTTTTTTACAGTTATAACAAGCGTCACAGTTTTTCACCAAATGTTCCCCACTACCACATCTATAACATTTTTTTATTATACATTGCCTAGCTTCATGATCCAATTCTCCACATCTATAACATTCTTTCTTTGCACCAACATAATACAACATTACACGTCTCCCTAAAATTTCCATGGTGGTTGGGATTCTACGTCTAGTAATAATGGACACTCGAAAGACACCCGTTCTTACATTGGTATTAGGATATTTGTTTACAAGTATATTTACAATTTTTCCGAATTTTCCCATCATTTCACTAATTAATTCACTATCGACTTCTACCGGTACATATCGCATTGTAACTACAATTAAATCCGCTTCTAGACTTTCAATATTATAATATTTATTTCCCACCTTTATTACTTGTCCAACTAGTTTTTCTTTTTCTTCTACGCTGGACATTCCAACTTCCACTATTCCTCTTGGGCGATAACATACTTGTTTTACACTTTCTGGTCTTCCTATTTTTTCTTCTATAACTTGTATCAGTTCCATTGTCTCTATTCTTTCTTCACTAACAATTCGTATTGATTTTATCGATGAATATTTTCGTATCTTTTCAGATTCTCCCTCTCCAAACATCTCCCTTGTCGTTTCCTCACTTTCCTCCATCAATTCGTCCAGATCGGTGGCTGCCGCATCAGGACTTCGGTACGACGAATCAAACCCATCGTGGATAGCCTGAGAATTACTCTGACTACCTAGGGTTTCCATATACGAATTATTAAATTCTAACTGAACATTACTTCCATCCATTCGACTATTATTCTTAATCAAGAGGCAATACAGCCCCACAGAAGGATCGACTTAACGAATCCACGCCCCCCACGGGAGCTGTTGAGGTGAGTATCACCAGAAAGTTCAGAAAAATAAAGTATCTCTTCTTAAATTTATTGTAGTTTACTTCTTTCTATTATTAAATCACTTTATCTTAGTATACTTTCATCAAGTCTACTCACATTTTCACTAAAACTTCACAAAAGTCGATCGATAGTGTAGACACTCTAAGTTCACTCTTCATTAACAACTCGAAAAATAATTTTTAAAAATCCAGAAAAAAACGACGGAATATTGTTCTCTATATTCCCGAGGCACTAAATATCGATGAATTCACAACTTTAAACCCAGCAGAAGCTCACAAACGCAAAACAAGAAGTACTCACAAAAACTCACCCACACGGGCGAGATAAGAACAGATACTGGTAAATTAAAGTTTATTATTTCTGTTTCTTTATATATACATGGAGCAACATGCTCGATCATATTTTTATTCCATAAATTACAAAAGTCACTTGTATTCTTTTCTTATGCTTATTTAACATTACATTTAAAACTTAATACAACTACTATAATTATATCTCATTTTTACATTAAACTTCTTTCATTTTAAATATATTTACATTTGTTTATAAGTTATATTTCTTTTTTACAATTTCTATTTATTATTATTACAATTTATCTGTTTATTTCATCAATAAATTATATAATTATTGTTTCTTTTATGTTTCACATATAATTTCAATATTTTAATTTTACATTTTCTATTAATTTACCCTCTTTTTATATTCTCATATACATTTCCATGGTAAGATTATTTTACCTTACTTAATACTATTTCAGTTTTCAAGAAATACATTTTTCTCAACATTCTATTTCATGTAATGTTGAGATTTACATATCAATAAATATATTTATAACTGAATAAATTATACTTCTCAACATATTTATCTACCTTAATATCTTATTAAGGCATTTCATTTACACATTTATATTTTTATCTACTTTTCCTATTTTTAGGTAAGTAGATTTACATATCAATAAATACATAGATAATTAGACAAAATTAAACTTCCTAACATATTTATCTACCTTAATATCTAATTAAGGCCTTTCATTTTCACATTTATATTTTTATCTACTTTTTTCCTATTTTTTATTAGGTAAGTAGATTTACATGTCGATAAAATACATAGATAACTAAGTAAAATTGTACTTCTTACTATATTTATATACCTTAATATCTTATTAAGGCTTTTCATTTGTACATTTATCTTTTATATCTACTTTTCCTACTTTTCATTAGCTAAGTAGATTTACATGTCACTAAATATATAAATAGACCAATAGAGTTATTCTTCTTAGCACATTTATTTATCTTAATATGTTATCAAGTCCTTTTCATTTACACATTTACATTTTATATCTACTTTTCCTATATATTTTGGTAAATAGTTTACATATCTAATATAACCTTTACATTTTTTAATTACCATTCGTCTTTGAATGTAAAATTTTCCCCGTTTTCTCCACATTATATTTTCAGTACCTCTGTAACAAGCATTCCACTCATTATTTGTTAATTTCTCACTATCCTTTTTTAATTTTAGTTTTGCTTCTGTTTTAATTTTTGTTATTACTAAAGTAGGATTTATTCTTTTTCTTTCAAAGACCTGTAAGCATCTAGCCTTCCATAGATTTCTTTTTGCTAGTCCTATTATCCAATTTAGAAAGTATGTACTTTGATTATTAATTTTATAATCTGTATGAAATTTTATGTTTACCCACTCTAATTTAACATTACAAATGAAGTTAACCCACCCCCAAACTTTTTTGGCAGGTTCACAAATATAAAATATATGAATGATTGATTCAGTTTGTCCACATCTTACACAATGTTCGTCTCTATTTCTATTGTATCTGTGTAAGAATTCTTTACACATAACAACTTCCTGTGTTATTCTCCACGAGATTTCCTTCCATTCTGAAGGTAAAGTACTTATATTTTTCCATGTATTTAACCAATTATTATTACTATTTATTATTGTCTCATTTACCATTTGTGTATGAATTAATTTATAAATTCTATTTGGTTTTAATCTCCTTATATCTTCAAATATCTCATTGTCATTATTTATTAATTTTTCAATATTTCTTCTCCATAATTTATATTTCTTATTATTATTTATGATAAAAGGATAGTTCGATTGTCTTTCAGCAATATCTTTTACCAATGGACCTAGTATGTATAATGCAACATAAAAAAGGGGGTGATTTCTTTCTATCAAACTTTTTAATAGCACAGTTATAGTTAACGAACTTTCGAAATCTTTTAGGTCTTTAATGTTCCATCCTCCATTATTAACATCATTTTTCATTACCTTCCTACTTAATGGTTCGTATTTATTCTGCCATATATATTTAAAAATTGGTTTTTCTAATTTCTTTATATCATCTTTCTTTAAATTAGTTACATATAACAAATACACTATCTTTGGTATTACTAATTTGTTTATTACTACTGCTCTTTCTGGCATGTACAGCCATTTATAGTCCCACTCCTTTATTGCATTTTTTATGTTATCAAACATTAAATTTACATTTTTCTCATTTGCTCTTTTGCCAAACCATGCTCCTAATATTTTCATGCTTTCTACTCTTTCATAATCTAAATTTCTATTATCTATATTTCCATATATTTTTAATAATTTACTTTTTCTCATATTAATTTTCATACCTGTTAATATGCTGAAGTCATTTAAGGCTTGACTAATTTTTTCTAAAGAGAAATTATTTGTAACAAAAAAGCTGATATCATCAGCATGACTAATAAATTTAACATTTCTTTTTAGACCAGGGATATACAAATTTCCAATTAATTTATTACATTCTATATACCTTAACAAAAGATTAATATATATCACAAATAAGATCATTGAGCAAGGACATCCTTGACGGACTCCTGCTCTGCATTCAATACTTTCTGTCATCTGATTATTAATTTTAATTACTGTTTTTGGTGTCCTATAAAGTTGTTTTAATGTTATAATTTCATCTTTATTTAAACCATATGTTTCTAATAATTTCCATAAAATTTTTCTATTGACTCTGTCAAAAGCTTTTGATACATCTATTGATAATATTGACATTGGAATTTGTTTTTCAATACTTAATTCTATAGCTAAGTTCATAAAAATCATGTTATTTTGTATCGATCTTCCCTCAATCCCTGCACTCTGTTTACAATTTATCTGTTTATTTTATCAATAAATTATGTAATTATTGTTTCTTTTATGTTTCACATATAATTCAATATTTTAATTTACATTTTCTATTAATTTACCCTCTTTTTATATTCTCATATACATTTCCATGGTAAGTCCCTTCCCGGTGCTTTATGCAAATGGAGAGACTGGATCGCCTCTCTTATCGTCTTTTTCACACACACTGATTGAATCATCTTGATTCAACATTTCGTGGTCGTTGGGGATTTCACTTTCTCCCCATGAAGCACTACTTGTAGATGGTTTATNACATCTATTGATAATATTGACATTGGAATTTGTTTTTCAATACTTAATTCTATAGCTAAGTTCATAAAAATCATGTTATTTTGTATCGATCTTCCCTCAATCCCTGCACTCTGTGTTTCTGCTATTTCATCCATAAATATCTGTTGTAATCTTTTTGCAATGATTAAACTGTAAATCTTAAAGTCATAGTTCAATAGAGTGATTGGTCTATAATCTGCCACAGTACAATTATCTTCTTTTTTCTTAATTAATACCATTTTACCCTCATTAAAATTTTTACTAAAATCTTTTTTATTGTATAGATAGTAAAGTATTTCTATTAATTTTTCGTTAAAATATATATAGAATTCTGATGTTAACATGTCAATCCCTGGTGCTTTTCTTGTTTTTAATTTCAAAATAGCCTCTTTTATTTCATCTTTTGATATCTCTTTATTAATTATATTGTTTTGTGTGTCTTTTATCGGTTTAATACATTTTACTATTTCATCCCACTTATTTTCATTGTAATCTGGTTCTGACATTATCTCATTATAATAATTGTAAAACTCCTCTATTATCTCTTTTCTATTTGTAATTTTTATATTGTCTTTTATCAATTCGTTTATTTCCATATTTTCTTTCTCTTTTCCCCTTCTCTCATATACACTAGTCTCTATTTCTCTACCTATTCCTAGTCTTCTCATTTTATATTTAATATACCTTTCATTACACTTTTCCTCTATCTCCTTTACTATTTTTGTTTCTATCTGTTTAATTTCATTTTCATCTTTTTTCATAATAATGGCTTTTGTCAATTCTCTTTTTAATTTTTTACTTTTGTTGAACTTTTCTTTTTTGATTTTATGCCACCTTTCCTCAATTAATGTGTTAATTTTTTCCTTAGTTTCTTCCCACTTTTCCCCCGTTATTCCTTCTTTTACACTATCTAACACTTCCCTTACTTCATTTTTAAAATTGTCCTTCTCTAAAATTTCTTTTGTTATTTTTATATTTTTTGTTAATACTTCTTGTACACCTATACTCATTTCTACATTTACTATCATGTGATCCGTTAATTTTACTTTCCTCCCTACTTCGTTGCATATGATGTTTTTTACATTATAATTTATTATATTTGTATATATTCTATCTAACCTCTTTTTTATATTCCTCCCCTTCCATGTGTATCCTGGCCGATCAGGGTATACTTTTCTAAATATATCTGTAAGATTAAAGTCCTTAATTAATTCTGACAACACTTTACGAGACCCATCATAAAACAGTTTTTCATTCTTGTCAATTTCTTCTAGCACATTGTTAAAATCCCCAAATAGCAGGATTTCTCTATCTACAGATAAATATTTCACTAATTCATTGAAAAATTCTTTCCTTTTAGCTGCCCTTGTGGGTGCATATATATTAATTAACCTTAAGAAGTTGTTACCTACCTTTACATCAACTACCAATGTTCTCCCTTTAGTATCGGTAGTAAAGTCCTGTATCTTTATCGTTTTTCTGACCATTATGATCACTCCCGTACTTTTCCTCACAGCAAACGATGCATATATATTAAAGTTACAAAACATTTTCCTTAATTTTCTTAAATCTACAAAGTCTTTAATATTTGTCTCCACTATACCTAAAATGTCTATTTGCTCAATTTCTACTAAATTAGCCACAAATGTTTGCTTGTAAACATCTCTGAAACCAAAGATGTTCACAAAACTTACTTTAAAAATTTTATTCATTGTCCGTTCTTTGTTTTATTTTTCCCAGTCTCTTTTTTCCTTCTTCTCTTTCCTGTTTGTTCCTTGTTCGTTTTCTACTTAGTCTCTCTATTTCCATCCCTTCCTCTCTCTCTTCTTGCGTCATTTCTTGTAGCTTCTCTTTCTGTTTCTTCTCATCTTCTATAATTTCCTGTTGCACTTCTTCCTCATCATTATTCTCTTCTTTTTTATCCTCTGCATTTTTCTCTTCCAATTTCGTTAATGTATTTTCTATTGTTTTGATTTCCTCTTCCTGTTGTTCTTCCTCATTTTCTTTTTGTTGTTGTTTTGTATCTGTTTTGATCTCCACCTGATTTTCCGTTTGTTCTTTATTTTCACTTTCCTGTTTCTTATCTGTTTCTTTTCTGTTTATTTTCTTAACAGTTTTTGGAAATCCTCTTTTTACAATTTCTGAGAAAGTTAACTTTCTGCACTCTCCTTTATGTTCTTTCAAACATTTTGGACATTTTATACAGTCTTTTATTAGATGTGTGCTTTCGCCGCATCTATGACATGTTTTTATTACACATTCCCTTGCTTTATGTTCAAAACTTCCACACTTTCTACACTGTTCTTTCATCCCAGGGTAGAAAGTTTGTATCTGCTTTCCAAAAATCTCAATAAAATTCGGCACTCTCTTCTTTGTTTCTATTATCACTGTAAATGTTCCATTTTTTATTTTCGGCTCCCCCGGATGATATTTGGGGTTTATTTTTATTACCTTTCCATAATTCATCATGACTTTCTTAATCAAAAATTCGTTATACTCTCCCGGAACATATTTGAGAGTTATGTTTAGCAGTTCAGCCTCTAAACTTTCTATTAAACATTTCTTTTCTTTAATCATTATCTCTTCTCCTATTAATATTTCCTTGTCTTCCATTGTTGTTAGTGTTATCTCCGCTATATTTCCTGGTCTGAAGCAGATTTGTTCTATAGCTCCAACCTTTCCTAACTTTGCACTCAACACATGCACTAATTTTCTTATCTCCACTCTTTCTTTCACATCTATTCTTACCGATCTAATTTTTCTATACATTTCCAATTTTTCAATCTGTTTTAATTCCTTCTCATATTCCCTTTGTCTATCCTCCTCTATTTCTAAATCTTCCTCCTCTTCATCCGATTCTTCCGATGATAAAACTAAGTCATTTTCTAAATTTTGCATTTCTTTTCCATTAATCTTATCTTTTCTCATTTTATTTTTCATTTTTCCTTCTAATTTGAGGTTTATTTCACCATTTTCCCCACTAGTTGATGGAATGGACTCTTCCATAATGAGTCATAACATCGAAACAAAGTTCGCGCCAAATGTGGGTTTTGTCGCCAAGGTAACGACCCGTTGCTAGGCAATTCGCGCCAAATGTGGGTTTCTTTGGTCCTATGTTAAGTATTAGCAATATTTAAAATTGCTATAACTTTTTTCCAGATTATCGAAACTCTTCCAAATTTCCAGAATAAATTACTGATAGTCTATACTTTATATTAGTTCAAAAGTTTTTTCAAAATACTTGAAAACGGGCTCGATCCTCTTATTTTTCTCCCGCTTTCGACCAATTTTAAATTACGATTAACTGTTTTAAATTTAACTAATTGACCCCTAAAAAGTTCATCCTTTACTCACTCATCACTCCTCTTTCTGATGATATATCCAATTTCACTACAATTATCACCACTCTCCAACTATCCAGTTCCAAAGTCTTCGAGTCTTTCGGCGACCGTAACTTTAAAAGTTACGGTCCCACACTTAAAATAAATACACCACTGTAATCCTTATTCTTCACCCTTTCCAATGATATATCACACTTGCCAAAAATATCACTAAAACCGCACAAAATCCAATCCGCAAACGGAGCTCCAAACGACGCGTCTGTTCCCGTCAAGATAAGAACAGATTTAAAAGCCATTTATTGATATAATAAGATATATACAAAGATTGACCAATATGATTGGAGGTATGTATATACATGGGCACATAGCCAGCTAGTTGAGAAGTACATAGGGTTAAAATATGCAAGTTGTGTTGAGAGGCATTGCCTCAGACGCATAACATGGGCACATAGCCTGCTGGGTTGCCAATGTGGCAAGAACATACATAAGGAGTGGTACGCGGAAACAAGGGCACATAGCCTGGCAATGAACGCGACATAGGATGTTAGTGTTGGTGTCCAAGATGACTTGTATAGATGTCCCGACTCCATCGTATACAGTCGCTTACCATCAATTTGCGCATCAGTTTGGCATAATTTCTTCTGACGCCTAATCTCTGGAGGACTGCGTCATTGGCTGTGTCGTATCCGCCTAGTGCTCCAGCGATGAAGGCATCGATGTATGTGTCGTAGCCTCTTCGTCGAAAGTGGGCAGCCAGGTCTTCGTACTTCTGTACCTTGTCCTCTCTAGCTCGGACGAAGGCATCGGCGCCGTTTTCAAATGGTGTCGCTACGTCTATGATGGTGGCCGTCCTTGGATTCTGATTGAGGACGACGAGATCTGGCCGGCAGTTATCTGGGAAGTCTGGTATGCGTTGATTAACATATACTGTGAGGCCTGAGTGGTCGAAGGTGTTATTAAGGCGGTCCAGTATTGCATTGTGGCATTTTGTGATTAGCCTGAAGTTGGGAGGGCAGTGATTAATTACATGGGCCAGGGTTTCTCTTTGGCGCTGACACCTCCTGCAGGTCTGGCTGGCGTTCCCAAATCTTCGCAGGCCGCGTAGGGGTACTACGCTGAGCCTGGCTCGGTGTATGAACCGCCAGTCTGCGAACCTGGTGAAGTTACCATCTTGCAGGAAGTGGTTGCTGTTGGTGTTGCTGGCCGTAATTTTGTATGCCTTGCCCTGGTCAGGCTTGACAAGAAGGGAGTGGAGGAAGGTGGCTTTGACAGCAGAGCTGATGGTTTTCATGGCCGTGTTTGTGCTACGGATTGGAGCGTCGTTGATGGATGGAATAAGAGTGCCACTTCCGTTGGGATGCCACTCGATGTTGATACGCTTTTTTAAGCGTCTGGTGGCCATTCGGAGACGAGTCCAGGTCGATGGAATATCGTACGGGTCACAGCCAAATTCACTGTCCATAGAGCCGGCCAAGTACGTGCAAAGATCGGCTTCACTTGGTGGTCGCTTGATGCGTTTCTCAACTACTTGCTGCAAGGTCTTGGCAGCAATGGTGGCGACGACCGGATCTTTGGAGTGGAGAATGTTAATGGCGTGACTGACCTGGGCTACGTCCGCTAAGATGTTGCAAGGGGTGACATTGACCCCTCCCTGAGCGTGCGGCATGTATACTATCTCTGGGCTCGCACGCTGGGGTAAGTTTAACCACCGTTTGACATAGCGTTTAATGTTCTTGTCGAGCAGGCTTAGACTCTTCTTTTGGACCTTACCAAGAGTCAGATGGAAAGTAAGCCTCGAAGTTAGAAAGGTATTTACGCAATCGATTTTTTGCCAAGGGGCAAGTCGAGAGCTGTCGATGCGCTTAATGTCGGTGAGAATTTGATCGATGGTGGAGTTAGCAGAGGATCCCAGGGTGAAACCTGTAGGGATACCCAAATGAAGATATGAATCGTCCTTGTTAAGACGAGGGATACTCGAGCTTTGGATGCAAAAATTGGGGCCTTCGGCGCAGCGGTATTTACTGGCCACGGAGAGGGTGGCGCATTTGGTTGGGTTGAAGGCGAGACCGCTGTGCTGGGCCCAGGAGGTAAGAAGGTCGAGTTGTTTTTGTAGCCCTTTTGCAGAACCGCTGATGACTGTAATATCGTCTGCATAGGCTAAGGAAGAAATGTCCAATCCGTGGAGGTGGTAGCCTTGCTGGAGGTTGCTGACGAGGCGAAGGGCTGGCTCAATAACCAAGTTAAAAAGAATGGGACTAAGAGGGCAGCCCTGTTTGACGCCGGCTGCAACCAAGATGGGGTCGGTGAGCCCCGTGCTGCTGCGGATGTGGGTTTGACATCCCTCGAGAAGGCCACGTACACATTCGATGGATGGTTCGCCTAAGCCGCACCACTTGAGACAAGTGTAGATGGTGGAATGGGGCACGGAGCCAAAGGCATTCCGAAGGTCTAGCCATGCTACGTGGCATTCAGAGTTTTTGCGGCGGGCGTTCTGTATTATGGACTGGAGTACAAAAGTATGTTCTGAGCACCCTTGAAAGGGCATGAAGCCTTTCTGCGCCGCAGAAATGATGTTGTTGGCTTCACACCAAGAAAGAAGGCGACTGGCAAGACAGGCGGAGTAAATTTTTCCTAAGGTGTTTGCCAGCGCAATGGGTCTCCAGTTGTTTACATCGTTGACATCTCCTTTCTTGTGTAGGAGAATAGTGGTGGATGTCTTCCACCCGCTTGGAACGAAGCCGATGCGTTGTACGGCGTTAAAGACAGCAGCTAAGATGTGGCCCTGCGGATCCAGGCGTCGCCAGATGTAGTATCGGATCCCGTCCGGGCCAGGGGCTGTGTTGTGGCATTTGGAGAGTCGTTTTGCGACCTCCGCAGGAGTGAAAGTACCACAAAGGGGGTTGTTCGTTGACGGTTGGAGGGCGGGTGGAAGGATGTCGTTGAGAGGCTTCTGAGGCGTGTGGCATAGGCCATTGGTGTTGGAGAAGTGCTCTACCAAGGCGGAGCTGGAAATCTGGCAGAACCGGCTGGTTCCGCGAGTGATTTTCTCGAACGCCTTGTGCTTGTTAGCACGGTAGAGGTGTTGTATCCTGCATGCCTCGGCCACGTTGGAATTGTTGTGGCGGCCGCCATTACGAGAGCGAGGTGGCCTCGGGCGGCTAAAGCGAGGCTGTTGACGATGATTTTGTGGGGCCATGCCACGGGCGAGGTTGGTGAGGTCCTCGATCATGGTCTCTAACATGTCCTCGTCGACTGCGCAGTCGAAGCGATCGCGCCATGCAATGACCCATGAAGGGGGGTCAGGCGACGAATCGCTGGCTGGGGCAGGTTCGAGGGATGGGCCAGGCAGGTGGTCGTCGCAGAGGACGGGCGCTGGCAATGAGGGTGGAGGATCGTCGCTGGTGGTGATGGTGGCAGTAGGGTCGTTCGCCGGAGATGGAGATGCTAGAGAGACGGCGGTAACGACAGGACTGCTGGCCGAGGGACTGGTAGTGCTGGATGATTTGCGATGCCTGCGGCGTCTGGGTCTCCTTACAAGGGGCGGAGGTGAGGCATCGCTCTCGGCGTGAGCTGGTGAAAGGTGCGGTACTTGTGTGGCAGGTGACGACGTGAGAGTGGTGGTAGGACAGGAGGTCGGGGGCTCCTGGGTGGCGGTAGGCCCTGGCTGCGAGGAAGGCAGCCGGCGTGGGCTACTACGAGCCTCGCTACTGGTGGCGTTCAGGGAGGCCACATAGGTCTCGTCAAGACCGTAGCTTTTCTTACGTCGTCCATTGTTCCGGTCGATGGGGATCCTGCACCGCTGTTTGGGTCCCTGCTGGATTGGACTGGGGACATAGACGGGAGTTGGCTAGAGCACTCCGTCGAGCGGGCTTGGTGGAGTTTAATTTCCTTTAGTTTCTCCGACTGCACATGGCAGATACGGCATTCGAAGCTAAGGCTGCCACCATGAACGCGGCGGAGATGACGTGATAGGCCCCCATGGTCCACATAATCCCGGTATACAGGAAGGCATGCCGGGCAGTGGTACGGTGGGCGTAATGGCACCAGAAGAGTGACATTGGCCAGCTCACTTACAGAGGCCATGTGATCGCAGTGTAGTACTGGAAAGTGAGAACGTAGGGGATGAAATGCCTCCTGGGGCGCAAGGCGGCCGACCAAGAAGAGGCAGGAAGGGGAAGAAAGTTGCAGAAAGGGTGCTCACGCAGAGCACCGACCCGTCGCCAAGCAGAGGTGGCGACGATAGTGAAAGTGTTGCCGGTCGAGCAGCGAATACACTGTGCGTTTAAACAGTGCAGGCCGCTCTTCCGGCGGAAGAGAGAAGAGTGTAGGAAAGAGAAATTAGTAATACCAAAGTATACTTACCCAGAGGTCTGGGGAGCAATGTAGGGCTCGAAGTCCAGTTCTGGTCCTATTTTAGACAGGAAACATCAAGCTGATAAGAACAGATTTAAAAGCCATTTATTATTATTAATCGAAAAATATTTACAAGTTGCCAATGGAGGCAGAGAATGGATAAGACATGGGCTCAAGCCTGCTAGTGAAGATACAAGGGTTAAAGGTTGAGATGAATAAAGTGAGGTAGATAAACCTCTAGACGCGATGACATGGGCATGTGTGCCAGTTGGAGGTTGCCAAATAAGGCGAAAACAAAAGGCCATTAGGCCGGGAGAAGATATGTCGCGGTTACAAGGGCCATGGGGCCTGGAGAAGATACGCGGTTACATGGGCCGTTGGGCCGAGAGAACAGTGTAGGTATGGATCGCGATTACATGGGCCATTGGGCCAGCGGGAACAAGAGGAAGCGCGGTTACATGGGCCTATGGGCCGAGTTACGGTTGCTGCTGAGATGGTTGGTGTATATGTCCCGTGACCAACGGATGCAGTCACTTACCATCAAGCGCTTCATTAGCTTGGAGTAGTTTCGTGAAATTCCGAGTCTCTGAAGGACACCTTCATTGGCGGCGTCGTAACCGCCGAGGGCGCCGACAAGGAATGCATCAATGAAGGTGTCGTAGCCCTGGCGTTTGAAATGATTGGCAAGGTTTGAGTATTTAGCCACTTTTTCCTCGCGGACGCGGTCGAATGCATCTTCCCCGTTTTCGAACGGGGTGGCCACGTCGCTAATGGTGACAGTCTTTGGGCTGTTATTGATGACGACGAGGTCCGGGCGGAGGGTGCTGGGAAAGTCAGGTACCTGCTGATTTTTGTATACAGTCAAGTTTTTACGATTGAAGGCGTTGTATAGGCGGTCCAGCACTGCGTTGTGTCGCTTGGTGATCAGGTGGAAGTTGTTGGGACAATGGTTCACAACGTGGGCCAGTGTCTCCCGGTGACGCTGACAGCGGCAACAAGTCTGGCTGGCGTTACCGAACCGTCTCAGGCCGCGTAGAGGGACGACGCTGAGTCTGGCCCGGTGAACAAAACGCCAGTCAGCGAACCTGGTGAAGTCGCCGTTCCGTAGGAAGTGATTGCTGCATGGGTTACTGGCAATCAGTTTGTAGGTTTTCCCTTGGTCGGGCTTACGGAGTAGGCTACTTACGAGGGTGGTCTTAGCAGCGTCGGAGATGGTCTTCATAGCGGTGTTCTTGGAGATCGGCTTCCCGTTGATGGAGGGGATGAAGGCGCCTTCGGCGTTGGTGTGCCACTCGAGCTCAAGGTGTTTTCTAAGGCGTCTCGTAGCCATCCTAAGGCGGGTCCAAGTGGAGGGGATGTCATAGGGGTCGAGCCCGAACTCGTTCTCCATGGACCCAGCCAGATAGGTGCACACGTCAGCATCCGTTGGGGGCCGTTTGATGCGCTTCTCAACGACGAGGCGGAGGGTGCAGTCGGCCAGGGTAGCGACAGTGGGGTCCTTGGAGTGCAGCAGGTTGATGGCGTGGCTGATTTGTGCTATATCAGCCAGGATGCCGCACGGGGTGATGTTGGCACCTCCTTGTGCGTGCGGCATGTGAATCACCTCGGGGCTGGCCCGCTGTGGAAGGTACATCCACTTTTTGACGCTGCGCTTTATTGCTCTGTCTAACTTACCTAGCGGCTTCTTGCGGACGGTGCCCAGCATTAGGTGGAACGTAAGTCTTGGCGTTAGGAATGTGGATACACAGTCAATTTTCTGCCAAGGGGCTAGGAGGGATCTGTTGACGTGGTGGAGGTCGTTGATGATGCCTTCGATGACGGATTCAGCTGAGAGGCCCAGGGTGAATCCTGTTGGGATCCCGAGATGGTGGTAGTGCTCGCCTTTCTTTAGTTGTGGTATCGTAGTTCCCTGTATGTTGAAGTGGGCGTCTTCTGCACATTGATACTTGCTGGCAACAGATAGGGTGGCGCATTTTGAGGGGTTGAAGCTCAGACCGCTGTACTGTGCCCACGTGGAGAGGAGGTCGAGCTGTGATTGGAGTCCGGCTGGCGAGTTGCTGATGATGGTTATATCATCTGCGTAGGCTAGAATAGAAATGGGTTGGTTATGTAATTCATAGCCTACCTGGAGGTTGGTGACGAGCCGGAGGGCGGGTTCCATTATGATGTTAAACAGGATCGGGCTTAGGGGACAGCCCTGTTTGACTCCTGCACAGATGGGAATGGCGTCGGTGAGACCGGTGCTCGTGCGGATGCGGGTGTGGCACCCATCCAGGAGGATCCTGATGCAGTTGATTGCGGGTTCGCTAAGGCCGCACCATTCAAGGCAGGTGAAGATCGTTTCGTGCGGGATGGAGCCAAAGGCATTGGATAGGTCGAGCCATCCCACATGGCAGCCTCTGTTTTTCCTACGGGCGTCTTGGATGGTAGTTTGCAGCGTAAAGTTGTGGTCGGAGCAGCCCTCATACCGCATGAAGCCTTTCTGCGCAGTGGATATGATGTGGTTATCCTCGCACCAGCGCAGGAGGCGGTTAGCGATACACACTGAGTAGAGCTTACCCAGCGTGTTGGCAAGGGCGATAGGTCTCCAATTATGAATGTTGTCGTGATCGCCCTTCTTGTGCAGGAGTACCGTTGTGGAGGTCTTCCAGGCGTTAGGGACAGCGCCAATACGTTGGACTGCATTGAATAGTGCCGACAGGATGTGCCCCTGCGGGTCGAGCCTCCGCCAGACATAGTAGCGGATGCCGTCCGGGCCGGGGGCGGTGTTGTGGCACTTGGAGAGTCTAGCCGCAACCTCAGGTGGAGTAAAGGTGTTGAGTAATGGATCGTCGGTGGTGGGTTGTGGGCGTGGTGGTAGGAAAGCCCGTAGGGGCTCCTGCGAGGCCTGGAGACAGCTGGTGGTGTTGGTGAAGTGGCTGGTAATGGTTGACTTGTCGATGGTGCAGTAGCGGTTCGGGCCACGGGTGATTTCGTCAAAAGCCTTCCGTTTGTTGGCCCGATAGAGTCGCTGTATTCTGCCGGCATCGGCGGCGTTGTATCTGTTCGGTCGCTGCTCACGTGGGTGATGGGGCCTTGGTTGACGTTGCCGGTTGTTGGGTTGCTGCTGCGGTGCCATGCATTCGGCGAGGGAGGTAAGATCTTGAACCATGACCTCCAACATATCGATATCTAGGGCGCAGTTGAATCTGTCCCTCCAGGCGATGACCCATGCTGGTAGTGCAGTGTCATCGGTGACTGGTGATGGTGGCTGGACCGGCTGTACACTAGGCAGAGGCGTACCATCATTGTGGGCTGGTGGGTTTGTTGACTGGTGGTCGCATGGCTGGCTTGGTGGCGGAGTGATGTTCCCACTGGTAGGGTTGCCTGGGGGGTAGCCGAGATCGATTCTGCAGGGCTGCTGGTGTTGGGAGGGCTGCTTACCTGCCGACGTCTGGAGCGGCGTGGGCGTCTAATCAGCGGTGGCGGAGAGTCATTATTGGTCGGCTGGGATGGGCATATGGACCAGTTGTTGATTCTCGTAGGTGGTGTTGTGGAGGCAGTCACGCTGGCGTAGGTGGGTGGCTGAGCTGCTGGGCTGGCTGCAGCATCAGAGGTTGCCGGTCGGCCGGTAGGATCACCGTTTTCAGCGATAGCTTGAGAGGCTAAGTAGTCTTCGTCCACTCCATAGGTCTGGCGCCTCGTCTTCTTGGGCCCTGTAGGAACCCGTGGGCGTGGTTTGGGATCTCTGGCCGTGCTTTCAGGTGACATGGATGGAAGTTGCGCTGAGCACGTAGCTGATTTGGCTTGATGTAATTTGACTTCTTTCAGCTTTTCAGAGCGGATATGGCACGCTCGGCATTCGAACAGTAGGCGACCTCCGTGGTTGCGTCTAATGTGACGGGCGAGGCCCCCATGATCCACGTAGTCACGGTAGACCGGGAGGCAAGCGGGGCAGTGGTAAGGCGGGCGTAATGGCACCAGAAGTATGGCCTCTGTTGGGCTGTTGGTCGCCATAAGTCAAATGTGTAGTATATAGGGGGGAGGAGAAAAAAGGGGCGGAAAAGCCTCTTGGGGTGCTATAGGCAACCAACCAAGAAGAGGCGGGAAGGGGAAGGAAGAACTACTACTTGGGTCGACCCAGGCAGTAGTAGAAGTATATGTTGCGTCGTGACCAGTGATCACGCCGCGATAGAAAAGTGGTTGCTGGTCAGGCAGCGAATACACTGTGCGTTTAAACAGTGCAGGCCGCCCTTCCAGCAGAAGTAGGAAGAAGGATAGGACAGAAAAAAAGTACTAAAAACAACTTACCGACTCGTCGGGGAGCATTCGGCTCGAAATCCTAGGGTCGTCGAGATGAGGCTGATCAGGCTTAATTAATGCTAATCAAGCTGATAAGAACAGATTTAAACGATTTTATTAAAACTCCAATAATATACAGGTATGGGATATAAGGTAGTGGAGTAAGCATAAGTCATACGCGACATGGGCGCATAGCCAGATATAATACAATGGGTAAGTATATACATAGAATTATCGACGCGACATGGGCTCATAGCCAGCCATGGGATGGGAAAGGTGGGTATACAGGGGTATGGGTTACAAGGTAAGCACATTGTCGCGACATGGGCACAAAGCCAGCCATGGGGTACAAGTAGTGGGAATACATACAAGGTAGAAGTTACGCGTGACAAGGCCAGCCTGCTGGGATGTACCTTGCGAGTGGTGGAAGCTGAGTTGGCGTGATGGGTTGGCTGCGGCAGGTCTTCTCGTGTGATGTTGGCTGTTGGAGTTGGTTGCAGCAGGTCTCCTCGGATGATGTTGGCTGTTGTTGTTGGTTGGTGGATGACTACGGCGGTTGGAGGCGAAATGACCGTTGTTGAGATGATGAAAGTAAATCTCGCGGCTCCAGCGAATGCAGTCACTAACCATGAGCTTTGCCATGGTATTAGAGTATTTTCTGCCAATACCCAATCGCTGAAGCACGGAGATGTTACTTGGGTCGTACGCGCCCAAGGAGCCAACGACGAAGGCGTCACAAAAGGTGTCGTATCCTTGGGCTCTAAAGTGGTGCGCAAGTGGGGAGTACTTTTCTATTTTCTTGGACCTGGCTGTGTTGAAGGCCTCGCTGCCGTTCTCAAAGGGGATCACAACGTCGACGATAGTGGCGGTCTTGGCGATGTCGTTGATGGCAACTGTCTGGCCGGCAGTTGTCGTCGTAGCCAGGGACCTGTTGGTTGCAGCGGACGGTGATGTCTCGGTCGTTGATAGCACGTCTGAGTCTGTTGAGAACGGCATTATGTCGCTCGGTTGCGAGGTGAAGGTTCCGGCCACAGTGGTTCAGAACGTGGGCCAGAGTCTCTTGTTGGTAGCCGCAGCGGCGGCATCTTGGAGAGAGTTGGCCGAAACGACGCAGCCCGTTTAGGGGCACCACACTGAGGCGGGCTCTATGGATAAACCTCCAATCCGCAAAGGAGGTGTAGAGCCCGTCTCTTAAGAAGTGGTTACTGGCAGGATGTTGTGCCGTAAGCTTTATTGCCTTGCCCTGATCGGGCTTTCGGAGGAGTCGGTTGAGGAGGTGGTTTTTTGCCATGCTGGTAAGGGCTTTGGAGGTGGTATGTCTGGGAATTGGATTTCCTGCTGCTGAGATGGTGATGGAGTCGTTGAAGATTATCCAAGCGATGTCCATGGTTTTACGGAGTCTTCGTGTGGCCATGCGGAGACGAGTCCAGGTGGATGTAATGTCCGCTGGGTCCATACCAAATTCCCCTTCCATGGAACCGTTAAGATAGGTGCATAAGTCGTCGAGGGATGGCGTGCGGCGAATGCGTTTTCGAACTACGCTGCGGAGGGAGTTGATGGCAATGGAACTCACTCTGGAGTCCCTGGAAGTAAAAAGGTGTACCCCATGCGTAATCTGACAGATGTCAGAGAGGGTGCTGCAGGGGGTGATGTTCGCACCTCCGTGGTCATAGGGGAGATGGACGACCTCAGCGCTTGCACGCTGGGGGAGATTTAACCATCTCTTAGCGTAGGTTTTGATGCGTCGATCAAGGGCGTGCAGGCGTTTCTTCGGGTTGGATCCGAGCAGGAGGTGGTAGGTAAGCCTGGGCAGAAACATGGTGTTAACGGCGTTTAGTTTCTGCCACGGCGCGAGGTTTGAGTCGTCGAGAAGTTGTAGATCTCTCTCAAGGTTGGTTATGATGTCCTCTGAAGTGTGGTGGGTAGAGAAGCCGGTTGGAACGCCCAAGTAAGAGTACGATTCGTTGGATCTCAGGAGTGGAATGGGCGCATCACACAGCGTGAAGGTGTCGTCGCCGGTGCTGTGTTGGCTTCCGAGGACAGATAGGGTGGCGCATTTGCTCGGTTTGAAGCAGAGACCGGCCCAGTCGGCCCAGTGAGAGATGTTGTCCAGCTGCTTCTGGAGGCCTTCGGGTGAGGGGCTGACTAGGACCAGGTCGTCTGCATAGGCAAGGATACCAATTTCCTCGCCCTCCAGAGAGTATCCCAGCTGAAGATTGTGTACCCGCCTAATAGCGGTCTCAATCACAATGTTGAATAACAGAGGGCTCAGGGGGCACCCCTGCTTGACGCCAGATTTGATGGGTATTTCGTTGGTGTAGCCATCGTGGGCTCTAATCTTGGTGGTGCAGTCTCGCAGTAGATTGTTGACTATGTCAATGCTTTCGTCATGGAGGCCACACCATTGTAAGCATTGGACAATGGTCTCGTGGGGCACAGACCCGAAAGCATTGCTAATATCGAGCCAAGCGATGTGGCAAGACCTACGCTTTCTCCTGGCGTCTTGAATGATGGATTGGAGGAGAAAGCTGTGGTCAAGGCAGCCCTCGTGTTGTAAGAACCCTTTCTGGGCGTTTGAGAGGATGCTGTTGACGTTGCACCAATTAAGGAGCCTGTTGGCGAGACAGGCTGAAAAAACCTTGCCCAAGGTGTTAGAAAGGGCGATGGGGCGCCAATTGCCTATGTTGCTGGTGCTGCCCTTCTTGTGGATCAGAACGGTGTTAGAGTTCTGCCAGCAGGGAGGAGTGGAGGAGGTGCGAAGTGCGGCGTTAAAGACGCTAGACAAGATGGTACCATTTGGATCAACTCTCATCCAGTGATGGTAGCGTAGGCCATCGGGACCGGGGGCGGTATTGTGGCATCTACGCAGACGAGAGGCGACTTCGGCAGGAGTGAAGGGCGCAGCAAGCGGATTGTTGGATTCCAGGCAGGGCTCAGGAGCATCAACAGGAGGTGCGGAGGGGTGGTGATGCGGGTTGTAGTCATAAAGACGGGTAAAGTGTGATTGTAGTACCTGTCTGCTGATACGGCAGTAGTTTGGCTGCCCATTGGTGATGAGGCCTATGGCCTTCTTTTTGTTGCGCCTGTACAGCCGTTGGATGTTCCTGGCGTCGGTGGTTGCCGGTGACTGGGACGAGGGCTGTGCGGCGGGTTGGATGGTCGTGTCGGAGATGGAACAGATGTCTTGTGCAAGAGCGACAAGATCGTTGACCATGGATTCCAACATATCGCCATCGATGGCAGCCTCGAAACGGTTCTTCCAATTGAGAACCCAGCTGGGGGTAGTGGAAGAGTCAGAGGCGGGGGGCTGGAAAGTGGTTTCGGAAATCTGATGGGAGGGGGTGCCGGCGGGAAATTGGAGTTGGTCATCCGTCGGCCCCCGTTGGAGCTGGAGATCAGCAGCAGAATCAGTGACAAGATGGTGATTGACTTCGACAGAGCCATGCAGTGGTGGGTCAGTTTGGAAGCTGACTTGACTGCTAGCGGAATGACGTCTCCTGGGTCTACCAGAGGCAGGCGTAGGAGTGGGACGACAAGTGGTCGGGGGGGTCGATGGTCCGATGCAGTGACCACAGGCTGAGTTCCCAGAAGTGGGTTCAGCGAAGTCGGAAGTGACGGCCCCCGGCGAGCTGTGGGGCAGATCGCCAATGGGGGAGTGGTGGCTGGCGACGTTGAGTGCCGAGGTCGAAGGGGAATGTTGAGGAGACTGGCAGTTGAAAGAGGGCAACCTGTTGGGCCTCCAGGGGCTGACAAAAGCCGGGGCAGGCATAGGCGAAGCAGCCTGAGAGTCTGCCTGAGGAGGCGAATCAAGAAGGCTTGTATCGACAGGCCGGATTACTCTCCTTCGTCTGGAGGGAGCAGGGCCTGGTTGCGGAGATGGTGAGCTCGATGAGCAGGAAGACTGGCGTCCAGGTGGAGCAGCGTTCTGATGGGGAGGTGCCCTGTTTTTCGCTTTTCTCGGCCGTAGAGGGATACGCATGATGCGGCGGTTGGCAGGAGGTGGAGGTGGAGGCGAATTAGCCTCAATGCAAGTGCGGCAGGCCTCAGCTCTGCGCTGGTGGGCCTTAAGGGATTTCAATTTGTCTAGAACCAGGCCGCAGGCACGGCACTCGAAGTGCAACGTGGTATCATGTTCCCTCTTGAGGTGCCTGACTAGTCCCGCATGGTCTATGTACTCTCGCGGGATTGGCAGGCAAAGCTGGCAGTTGTGCGGTGGTTGTAGTGGCACAAGGATTGAAACGGTGGGCATAGCAGATCAAATGTGCAGTAGAGCTGGAAAGAAGAGAAGCAGGGGCGGAAATGCCTCCTGGGGCGCTTAGGGCGACCTACCAAGGAGAGGCAGGAAGGGGAAGAAAGTTGCAGAAAGGGTGCTCACGCAGAGCACCGACCCGCCGCCAAGCGGAGCTGGCGACGATAGTGAAAGTGTTGCCGGTCGAGCAGCGAATACACTGTGCGTTTAAACAGTGCAGGCCGCTCTTCCGGCGGAAGAGAGAAGAGTAAAGGAAAGAGAAATTAGTGATACCAAAAAAAAAAAAAAATACTTACCACAGGAACTGGGGAGCAATGTAGGGCTCGTAATCCAGGCTGGGCATCAGTTATGATGAAGAACCATCAAGCTGATAAGAACAGATTTAAAAGCCCTTTATTAATATGATTAAAAAGTATATACAGGTAACCATTGCGGTTAGATATTATTTACATGGGCACAGAGCCAGCCAGTGGTAGATACAAAGGTGTGTAAAAGATGTAGTACAGATATGATAAAGAGGCAGTGCCTCTAGTACGCGCTCCAAGGGCTCACGGCCAGCTAATATTGCCAGTGTATGGCAAAGACAGTGGTACGCGAACGCGGTTACATGGGCTCAATGCCTGACATATGTTACATATGGGATGTCGTCGTTGCATTAGTTGCGGTAACCAAGATGATTGGCGTAGATGTCGCGGCTGTATCTGATGCAGTCGCTCACCATTAGCTTCCTCATCAGCTTGGCGTAACTCCTGCTTACCCCTAGGCGTTGAAGTACAGAGTCGTTGGCGGTGTCGTAACCACCCAGGGCTCCTACGACGAAGGCGTCTATATAGGTGTCATACCCTTGTCGTCTGAAGTGGTTGGCCAACTCCTCGTACTTCCGGATCTTCTCGGCTCTTGCACGGTCGAAGGCGTCGGCGCCGTTCTCGAAAGGTGTAGCCACGTCGACGATCGTTGCCGTTTTGGGGTTCTGGTTGAGCACCACGAGGTCAGGACGGCAGTTGCTCTCGAACCCAGGGATCTGCTGGTTGATGTACGTGGTGAGGTTTCGATGGTTAAAGGCGTTGTTCAGTCTGTCCAAAATTGCATTGTGCCTCTTTGTGATGGTACTGAGGTTCGGAGGACAATGATTTAGGACGTGGGCGAGAGTTTCCCGATGCCTCTGGCATCGTCGGCAGTTTTGGCTGGCGTTTCCAAACCGGCGCAGGCCACGCAGAGGTACCACGCTTAGCCTGGCGCGGTGGATAAATCGCCAGTCTGCAAATCTAGTAAAGCTCCCTCCACGGAGGAAGTGGTTGCTGTTGAAATTAGCTGCTGTTACTTTGAAGGCCTTGCCCTGGTCGGGCTTGTTTAAAAGAGATTGAAGGTAAGTGGCCTTAACAGCAGTGGAGATAGATTTCATGACGGTGGGTCTCTTGACGGGGTTGCCGTTGATGGATAAGGTGAGAGTGCCCTTGGTGTCGGGATGCCATTCGATGTCCAGGCGCTTCTTAAGGCGGCGGGTGGCCATGCGCAGACGGGTCCAGGTGGAGGGAACATCGTAGGGATCGCACCCAAACTCGTTGTCCATTGAGCCGGCCAGATAAGTGCAAAGGTCGGCATCAGTGGGCGGTCGCCGGATACGTTTCTCAACAACTACTTGCAGGGTTTTAAGTGCAAGGGCGGCGACGGTGGGATCCCTGGAATGGAGTAGGCTGTGAGCATGGTTTACTTGAGCCACGTCTGCGAGGATATTGCAAGGGGTTATGTTCGCCCCTCCTTGGGCGTGAGGCATGTAGAGGACCTCCGGACTGGCACGCTGTGGTAAGTTCATCCACTTCTTGACACACCGTTTTATTACTTTGTCAAGGTGGCTGAGCTTTTTCTTCTGGACCTTCCCCAGAGTGAGATGGAATGTGAGACGGGAGGTCAGAAAGGTGTTGACGCAGTCAATTTTCTGCCATGGGGCGAGGCAGGAGTTGTCGACAAGTTTAATGTCGGACAGAATCCCGTCGATGGTGTCGTCGGCAGATCGCCCCATGGTAAAGCCAGTCGGTATTCCGAGGTGGAGATAGCTGTCGTCTTTGTGGAGGCGGGGAATATTCGAGCCTTGGATGGAGAAGTGGGTCTGGTCATCGCAGCGGTACTTGCCAGCCACGACTAGGGTGGCACATTTCGAAGGATTGAATGAGAGGCCGCTGCAACGGGCCCACGACGACAGGAGGTCAAGTTGGGATTGGAGTCCAGCAGCAGACTTACTAATGATGGTGATGTCGTCTGCATATGCCAGTATTGAGAGGTTTTGGTCGTGCAGACAATAGCCATGCTGGAGGTCGTTAATTAGGCGTAGCACGGGTTCTATGACGAGGTTGAAAAGGACAGGGCTGAGTGGACAACCCTGTTTTACACCTGTCAAGACGGGGATGGGATCCGTGAGACCCGTGTGCCCTCGGATGCGTGTGTGGCATCCTTCAAGGAGATCCCTAATACAATCGATGGAGGAGGGACAGAGGCCACACCATTCGAGGCAAGTGAAGATGGTTGAGTGCGGGACTGAACCAAAGGCATTGCAGAGGTCCAGCCATGCAATGTGGCACTCGCTGTTCCTCCGACGGGCGTTCTGGATAATGGACTGGAGGATAAAGGTATGGTCATTGCAGCCTTCAAAGCGCATAAATCCCTTCTGTGCTGGAGAAATGGTGCCATTTTCCTCGCACCAGCACAGGAGGCGGCTGGCCAGGCAAGAGGAATAAATCTTACCAAGTGTGTTCGCTAGCGCAATGGGCCTCCAGTTGTGAATGTCGTTCTGGTCGCCCTTCTTATGAAGGAGGATGGTGTTGGACACCTTCCATGCGCTAGGAACGTGGCCAATGCGCTGGACAGCATTGAAAACTGCCGAAAGGATGTGGCCCTGGGGGTCTAGCCGGCGCCATATATAGTACCGGATCCCATCTGGACCCGGAGCGGTGTTGTGGCATTTACTAAGGCGCTTGGCCACTTCAGCTGGCGTGAACGTACCACATAGGGGATTGTTCGTAGCCGGTTGCAGAGCTGGTGGTAGGAGGTTGCGGAGGGCCTCATGATCTATCAGTTGAAGGCTGTTGGTGTCGGAGAAGTGGTCAGTGATGGTGGCATTGTCAATCTTACAGAAGCGATTGGCCCCACGGGTGACCTCTTCAAAGGCCTTGTGTCTATTGGCGCGATATAGGCGCTGTAACCGACTGGCCTCGGCAGCACTGTAAGTGCTACGGGGGTTGCTGGCCTGTGGCGGCCTGGTTCGTCTAGGGCGATGATGCTGCCCGTACTGCTGTGGGGTCATGCTGCGGGCAAGGTTGGAAAGATCATCAACCATTGCCTCGAGCATGTCCTCGTCAACGGCGCAGTCGAACCGGTCACGCCAAGCAATGACCCACGGAGGGGGGGCGGAGGTGGAGTCGTTGAGGGGAGGCCGAGGTGAGGAGACGCACGACTGATGTGCGTCGGTAGCCAGTTGGGACGGTGGCTGGGGTCCAGAGACACATGACAGATGTGTGTCGTCAGCCGGTTGGGATGGCGGCTGGGGCTCCGGGACGTCAGCTGGAGGAGAGCCAGATGCAGGCATGGCTGCAGTGGGGGCAGCAGCTGCGGAGCCAGAGGCGTTAGTGGACGTGATCGAGGCGTTGGCCGGCGAGACAGGACTACTAGTGTGGCTTGAATTACTCGCCGGGCGGCGCCTACGCCGCCGTGGCCTTCTCACCAAAGGAGGGGTGGAGTCGTCGATCGTTGTCTCAGCCGGTGACGGGTGCTGCTCCTGAGTACCAGGTGCCGAGGCGTTGGTAGTAGGAGTGGCAGGACAGCTGGGGGTAGGCCTGGCCTGAGAAACGACAGGCTGGGGCTGACAGTTACCCGTCTTGCTGCCTTGGCTAGCCTGAGAAGCCATGTATGCTAAGTAGGCCTCGTCACGGATGGGGTGCTTTCTGAGCCCGGTGGGGATTCTGCCACGCTGTAGCTTAACCTCTTTAAGCTTGTCAGACCTTAGCCCGCAGACGCGGCATTCAAAAGTGAGGCGACCACCATGGGTTCGGCGGAGGTGGCGAGAGAGGCCCCCATGGTCAACATAGTCCCTGTACACAGGGAGGCAAGGAGGACAATGGTAGGGGGGCCTGAGAGGCACGAGTAATGTAACTTCAAGCGATTTACTCGATGCAGCCATTGATCAAATGTGCAGCAGGAAAGTAGGGGGAAAGGGGCGGAAAAGCCTCCTGGGGTGCCGAAGCAGCCTACCAAGGGGAGGCGGGAAGAGGAAGAAAGCAGCGTATAGGAGAACTCTACGCTGGGAAAGGATGCTCACGCAGAGCACCGAATGGCTACCGCGAACGGCGCCGATAGGAACAGTGTTGCCGGTTGAGCAGCGAATACACGGTGCGTTTAAACCGTGCAGGCCGCTCTTCCGGCGGAAGAGAGAAGAAGGTAGGACAGAAAAGTCAGTACAACTTACCCAAGGGCCGGGGAGCTGGCAACTCGGAGTCCGGTCGGGAACCTGGAAAATAAAGCAAGATTACTCATAAATAATCAAGCTGATAAGAACAGATTTAAAGTTGTTTATTAGTAAATTATAAAATATACAAAGAGATATGTACAGAGTAAAATGGATAGACATGGGCACGTAGCCAGCCAGTGAGATACAGTGAAAGTATGGTGTTTAAAGTATATACATGGAGGGGTGTGAACCCCAAGTCGCGTTTACAAGGGCGCAAGCCAGCTAAANAACAGATTTAAAGTTGTTTATTAGTAAATTATAAAATATACAAAGAGATATGTACAGAGTAAAATGGTTAGACATGGGCACGTAGCCAGCCAGTGAGATACAGTGAAAGTATGGTGTTTAAAGTATATACATGGAGGGGTGTGAACCCCAAGTCGCGTTTACAAGGGCGCAAGCCAGCTAAAGAGTACAATAGATATACAAACGCGGTTTACACGGGCTCAAGCCTGACAGCGCGGTACATAAAGTGTTGAGTTTCCTGATGAGGAGTACTACGGCCTATGAGAACGGTGGCCGAGGTGGTGCATGTAGATCTCCCTGCTGTATTTTACACAGTCACTGACCATGAGGTGGCGCATCATCTTGGCGTATCTCCTGGAAATGCCGAGGCGCTGGATGACACTTTCATTTGCGGCGTCATAGCCGCCAAGGGCCCCCGACGATGAACGCATCGATGAATGTGTCGTACCCGAGGTTCCGGTAGTGGTTTGCAAGATTGTTGTATTTTTGGATTTTCTCTTCTCGGGCACGGGAGAAGGCGTCTTCGCCGTTTTCAAAGGGCGTGGCCACGTCGATTATTGTTGCTGTCTTGGGATTGGAGTTCAGTACAACGAGATCTGGGCGGCAGTTGCTAGCAAAGTCTGGAATCTGTTGATTACAATAAATTGTTAAATTTTTATGATTAAAGGCGTTAAGAAGGCGATTTAGTACAGCGTTATGTCTCTTGGTTATATGGACGAGGTTTGGGGGGCAATGATTTATGACGTGGGCCAACGTTTCCCTATGACGCTGGCATCGGCGGCAGTTTTGGCTAGCGTTGCCGAAGCGGCGTAAGCCGCGGAGGGGGACAACGCTAAGCCTTGCCCGATGAATAAATCTCCAGTCGGCGAAAGTGGTAAAATTACCTTCGCGCAGGAAGTGATTACTGTTAGTATTACCTGCTGTGAGGCGGAAAGCCTTGCCCTGGTCGGGCTTGCGAAGGAGGGCCGTTAGGAATGTGGACTTAACTGCGTCGGAGATGACTCTTGCGGCGTTGGCTTTGGTGAGGGGTTTTCCATCTATTGAGGGTGTTAAGGTGTTGTCGTCGTTGGGGTTCCAGGATAGGTCGATGCGTGTCCTTAGGCGTCGAGTTGCCATCCTGAGCCGGGTCCAGAGGGAGGGGATGTCGTAAGGGTCGCATCCAAACTCATTTTCCATGGACCCGGACAGGTAGGTACATAGGTCAGTGCTGGTCGGGGTTCTTCTGATGCGTTTTTCAACCACCTTTTCTAGGGTCTTGATGGCTAGGTTGCTGACTGCAGGATCCCTAGAGGAGAAAAGGTTTACAGCATGGCTTACCTGAGCAGCGTCTGCGAGGATGGCGCAGGACGTTACATTGGCGCCGCCTTGGCTGTTAGTCATGTGGACGATCTCTGGTGAAGCCCGTTGAGGGAGATTCATCCATCTCTTTACGAAGCGCTTTATGTTTTTGTCCAGGTTGTTTAGCAGCTTCTTGGAGACACTACCTAAAGCAAGGTGGAAAGTGAGGCGTGAAGTGAGGAATGTATTAACACTGTCAATTATCTGCCACGGCGCAAGGCACGAGGCGTCTATACGTTTGAGGTCGTTGAGGATGCCTTCCACAACGGTGGCAGCAGAGCGTCCGACGGTGAACCCAGTAGGGATGCCGAGGTGCATATAATGGTCTTCTTTGCGCAGCTGGGGAATGCTGGCCTCCTGGATTGTGAATCCAGTGTTGTTGGCACAGCGATATTTACCTGCTGTGGATAGTGTAGCACACTTGGAGGGATTGAAGAGTAGGCCATTGTTCCGTGCCCAGGTGGAGAGTAAGTCTAGTTGCTTTTGCAGGCCGTCGGCAGAGGAGCTGGCGATGGTAATATCGTCAGCATATGCTAACGCCGAGATGGACTGGCCATGTAAGTTGTATCCGACTTGAAGGTCAGACACAAGGCGGAGGGCGGGCTCAACGACGATGTTAAATAATATGGGGCTGAGTGGGCAGCCCTGTTTGACGCCTGCTGAGATGGAGATGGGATCAGTGAGCCCTGTACTGGAGCGGATGCAAGTGTGGCATCCGGTGAGAAGGTTCTTGATGATGTAGATGGAGGGGGCTCCCAAGCCACACCATTTGAGGCAGTCGATGATGGTGGAGTGAGGAACAGAGCCAAACGCGTTGGCAAGGTCGAGCCACGCAACGTGAATTTCTCTGTTCCTGCGCCGAGCATCTTGGATGGCGGACTGAAGCATAAAAGTATGTTCAGAGCAACCCTCGAACCTCATGAAGCCTTTCTGCGCGGTAGAAATGGTGTTATTTTGCTCACACCAGCGCAGAAGGCGGTTGGCTATGCAGGCCGAGTACAGCTTGCCAAGTGTGTTGGCAAGTGCGATTGGGCGCCAGTTGTTCACGTCGTTGCGATCACCCTTCTTGTGGATCAAAATGGTTGTGGAAGTTCTCCAGCTGGAAGGAATGACGCCGATACGCTGGACCGCGTTGAAGAGAGCCGCAAGGATATGGCCCTGTGGATCAAGGCGGCGCCAGGTATGATATCTAACTCCATCGGGGCCAGGTGCGGTGTTGTGACATCTGGCGAGTTTGTTGGCGACTTCCGTGGGCGTGAAGGGGTCGCTTAGCGGGTCGTCTGTGGATGGGCTTAATGGTGGCGGGAGCTGGTCGCTTGGTGGCCTGGTGCTGGCAGGTTGGCTGTAAATATTCGTAAAATGGTTAGCAAGTGAGGCCTTACCAATTTGGCAGAACCGTTCGGTGCCACGGGTGACTTCATCGAAGGCTTTGCTCTTGTTGAGTCTGTAGAGGCGTTGTATCCTGCTTGCCTCTGCTGCGCTATAACGCGGTCGTCTGTTGTTGTTTCGCCAGGATGGTGGTGGTTGTCGGCGTTGTTGCCGGTTAGGGTTCTGCGGCCGTTGTTGTGGTGCCATGTGTTGGGCCAGGCCGATGAGGTCGTCGACCATGACCTCCAACATGTCCTCGTCAAGTGCGCAGTTCAGGCGCTCTGTCCAGGCCACAACCCAGGATGGGGGCTCAGCCGTATGGTCGTCGTTAGGCGAGGTGGAAGAGGTGTGTGGTTGGGTGGCAGGAGGAGCCTCGACGATAGGTTGAGCAGTACTTTCAGTGGCGGCTGGGGTGTTGATGGCATCTTGGAGAAAGAATTAGAAGGGCTGTCCGCATTAAGCAGCGGACTCAGGCCCTTGTAGAAGTAGGAAAGAAGAAGGTAGGAAAGTACGAAGAAGGAGCGAGAAGAGGAAACTAGTGTGATAGGAAAGTAGGAAGGAGAGTGCAATCAGGGGGCCCCCCATGGGACCCCACGGGCGCCTGCATCGGGTTCATTTTATTAAACAAAATACAATACCATACATTAACATACACAGTATAAAACTTAACAAAAATTTGCGCCACACTTTGGCCATACAGAAATTTACAGAATTTTCTCTCCGACAATATTCCAATGCAGATTAAATGATAAACAACAAAAAGTACAAAAATAATGCCACCACTACTTGTGGTGCATTGACATCAGGTGGAAACTATGCGCAACGTTGCAGTTCTTTTTGAAAGCAAGGACACTCTTTGTCCATAGTGTTGTGGTTTGTGTTCTTAAGATTTTTCCTATGACAGTTTGCACATCTTGCCTTCTGCTGTTTATTGCAATCCTTATACAAGTGTGAATCCCCACAGTGACTGCAAGTCACGTCTTCTGAGCAAGAACTAGCGAAGTGTCCGAAACCCAAGCACTTGAAACACCTTTTGATCCTAATGTAATCGTATACCGGGCAACGTGCCCAGCCTATGTTTAACTTTCCTTCTTTTATAATAATTTCTCTGAACATCGGAGTTACTTCCAAGAACCATGTAACAAAGTTTTTATCACGTTGCGCAGTGGAAAATTTAAAGTTTACTTCATCTTGCATATAAACTTCAGACATGTTACCGCAAAAGCACTCATTTTGTTCATACATCATCTTTTTTATGTCCTCTTGTTTAATTGTTGCTGGCACTGAAACCATCTTCAGCAATGGTAGCCTTTTCTGCTCTGTTTTAAGTTCCAATTCTCTCACTTTCCTTATCACTCTTGCCATTTTGTTCATGTCCTCCGTACAAAACAAATCAATTAAAACTGCCCCATTGTTGGCCTTCCTAACTCCCTTAATTCCTATTCCCA